GCTGTGATAAGATAATCACATCCCAGCTCTAGCGCCACACTTAACACCCTGACAAGAGAGTAGTATTGTTCATTTCATCTAACTTGCATCATGAATGCAAAATAGCGCATTTCCCAAATTGTGAAACAATGCCTTTAAGTACATTACACCTAAAGTACTTCAGCGGTTGTAGACTGTAGCAAGGTTTTATTTATTTGTCCCAACTCACCACTTATAGCATTTAAACCATGTCCAGCGACAAGCCTGCTTCACTGACATCTGGCTCACCCCTGTCCATAATCCCATCTCTCAGTGTTCACAGCACTGAAGCAGATATGAGTATTAGTATGAAAACAGCTTGTCAGATGCCAGTGTGAGGAAAATAGCAAAGAAATGAAGGCCTCAGTAGAACAGATGGGGTTATTTATTAAAGCTGGTGATATATTTCTGCTTTGGAATCAAGTGACATTTGAAGCCGGAAATCTAAATTTCTCACGCTCCAAATGGCCACACACTGCTTGAAATAAGCCTGTGTAAAGGGTAGCTGTGTGACTCTTGGGTGGTAATTTTGATGTAACAGGAGAAATACAAACAATCAATCTTTACTCAGTCTTCTCATATTCCTCCACTGATAGAATCCAACTCTGGCAGATTGGAAATTGTTGATGGGAAAGCTGGAGTTGATGGATCCAGCAAATCTATAGCAATCAATGTCAGTTCTCTGTCCAAGGTTGCTGCCGGATGCCTTTGCAAGACACTGAGCCTCTTACATAACCTGTCCTCTCTGAAACCTTTTAACAGTTGAGGTCATCTAAAATGGAAAGTCTCATGCCTTTATAAGTGAAACAGACAAAAATGAAAATAATAAAAGCTCAAACTCATTATGTCAACATGTGTTTCAGTACGCACAATATAATTCATAGTTCACATGCAAATTATTGCATACATCAAATAGGAAACAACATTGTAGCTTAATTAACCAGATATTTACCATCTTCCAACACAACATGTATATCTTTTGGCATTGAGTTGCCTTTAAGTTAAGCACTATGACGCTCAAGGGTCAACATACTGTATATGAAAATGTGCTGGAAGTAGCTTCAAAGCTGCTTGAATCAATATTTTTACAGTAACAATGGGTCAGAGAATTATTCATCATTTAATAGGCAATTAATTAGGGATGCTAACACATTCACCAACAAGAATATAAGGTGGTTATGTCAGGGGTTGTTTTTCCAGCTTGTTGTGATTCAGCAGGATTAAGCTAATTATTATTACTACAGTACATTACATTTAGACATGTATGTCTAAAAATAGCCCAAAATAATGAATAATTAATCATTTCTTTGGTGTCTCATTGGTATTATTTATGAGGCTTAAGTCAACAATTCTTTTTCAAGATGACAAATAAAATTGGTTTAAGATTAGATTGCATGTCATATTGCCAAAAGACTAATCCCACTTGAGTAAAGAAAGAATCCACCCTGGGATAATGTAAGTGCACAACTCAAAAATATCTGACCAAACGGAACGGTTTGGTCAGACTTCCTCTGCTCATGGCACCCAGCGCCACCTATAGGAAAGGAAAGTAATGGCAGGAAGTCAAACCTTCAGGGGCAAGCATGTCAAGTTGCCTTTCACAGCCAGAAAAGCCCTGGCTGGTAGCTGAAATTTTAACCCCTGAACCACCTGCAGGCAATCATTTTTATAGCTGCTTTTTATACCTTTCTGTCGTACCATTCAAACATTTCAGGTATGTATAATGCTTAAAGTATATAAAACACTCAAACATACTTAAAGATCCTATATCTATTTCCCACGTAGGCTATGAACCTCTCACATCCTCACTTTATGCTCTCAGGAACAAATGGGTCAGGGATACACTAAATTACCTTTGCTCCATTGTTTAGATTAATAAAATGAAGAGCTCTCTTGAGACAAAGACTGTACTTTAAACACTGTGTATATACTGGAATGGCTTTACATTGTCTCATTTGGTTCAAACACATCATGTAAATCTTGCACAGGGGCTTGACAGATTTGTATTAAATGGATATATAGCCTTAAGGAGGAAAGTGCTTTAATTTTACACTCCAACTAAATCAATAAGTCATTAGGGGTTTGTTACAAGTCACTTATAAAGCAGTTCTGTACTAATGCATAGATCTTGAAGGGGTACTTTCGTTTTGCATGTCCATAAGATACACAAAGAATATTCAAAATCAGTATTCAGTCAAGATATCCTGACTCTTAGCCAATAGCATGGTCCTGTCCTACACTAAATTTCCTTTAGTCCGACCATGGCATGAGCATAAAAGTTAATTAAACAAGACAAAAAAAAAAATTGACCTGAAGGATCAGCCTGTGCATATTCTCATTTGACCTGAAGGATCACTTGTTAGGTTTTCCCAGAACTTTCAACTGGATCTCATGGTATTTGTCTGTGGATGGAGTTTGAAGATTGTAAGAGGCAATTTAAGGCCCTGGAAAAAGCTAGTAACTGAACCTTGAGGCTTTTGGCTATCTTCACAGATTCCAAGGTCATCCTTGATGACATCATACATCTGAGTCCAAAAATGTGATTGTCCAGAGGTGATGGCTGCTAACCCCATTTGTTTGATTCCTTATATCTCTTCCTTCTCCAGTGTATAGCAGACTATTAACCTGCCTTTGAGTGTGGCAATTTGGAACAGGTATGGAAACTTTTGCCTTTGGTTTAGTGTTAGGGTTAAATAGTTTGTTTCAAGCATGTTATGTCATAGATGACAAAGCTCCCCCTGATATGTAAAGTTATATTTATGTGAAAAATCAGTGGAGTGCTCAAAATTACATAAACAAAAATGGTACTTTATAAAATATGAATAATGTGTAACACATTAGGATACACCTCAGAATAGACAACACAGCTTTTGGTATAATAATGTACCATATCAATAAGTGACTAGTGTCAGAGACTGCCATGCTGTAATAGGTCAGGCACTCTATCTTTGCATGTTACTGTCTACTGATTGAAGTGTATCCCTCAGGTGTGGAGCATCATAGCACTCAGTCCACTTATGAAGATAATAATGGTGACCTCACTCCCCCTAGGCCTCCTTCAAGAACAAATGCTGGGCTGGTTTAGCCTGTGGCAAAGGTAAAACTGTTCATGCATATTTTATCATTCAACAGCCACGTACAGTCCTTCAACAGGTCCATATATTTCAGTCATGATTTGCTGAATGTTTACCTTTACTGTAAAAAGAAAGTGATGTCAAGAGCTATAGCTACACCCATAAACTTTCACTTATCTCTAGTCATTGTGGCCATGGTCTGGTAGATCTGGTTCCATGCACCTGTTATGTTAAATGATTTTATTTATATGATGATAAATTTGTATTGTAAATAAAAAAAAAAAATCTAAGCTGCTTATTTAAAATAGCACTTTATATAGAAGAGGTGATGGAAGTCAGTAAATATTCTTATGCAGTGTGAATAGGGCTCTTTGATGTCATATTAGCCTAAATATTTGCACTCAGTTGGCAGTTTATTAGATGCACCTCACTAAAACTAATGCAGTCTAGTATGCCTGCAACAAAACCTCAGCAATTAGTATAAGTTAAATCAAGACCTCTCTAAAACAGTTTCAACACAAACTATACATGAATAAGGATTTATTGCAGGAGGACTGTATAATAAACCTTAACCAGCATCCCCCATCATTATACCAAGAAACTAAAGATGGCACAGAACAGTGACAGATGTGTTCAGTTTAGAGCCATGCATCTCACATAATACATAGTATAGACCATAATATACATATATACATAATATGACCACAGAGTAGTGTCTTTGAAGAGCAAAAATACTTAATACTAAAACACTTGATACTTGAAGGACAAAACTGGAAAATAATGGGTAGTGAGACTTAAAAATTGCAGCGGACCTGCTGAATCACCAGGAGCAATGACATTTTGATTTAAATTTATAATGTGGTTCACTTGTGTTGAGAATGAAAAACAGAGAAAGATTTTCACTCTTGACCTTTTAAACAGCAGAGGATAAAAAAAGTCTAATCTCATGGTCCATATAAGTGCTGCTCTGGAGCTTCTGATTATGACACATGATCTTCATCAACAGTTTTTTTCTTTCTTTCTTTTATGCATTCTTGATCTGCTGAGTTCATTTCAAGCTCAACAATGAAGTTCATTTTTTTCCTTGCCTTTATTCATCAATTTCAAGATGGATAAGCACTTGGATGCATTACTGTCTTCAGTTTGTACATTTAAACATGTGTACATACATACATTTATATATATATATATATATATATATATATATATGCCATACATGTTGTGTGTGTACATTTATTGTGTCTATTAATTCACTCTTTTAAATAAAATTTCAGATTTCCAATTAAGTTCATTTTTCTTTTGCTGGACTTTTGTTGTATGATTGTCTGACTTGGATAAAAAGTCAGCATTCTCAAATCACAAATGGTGAATCATTTGTAGTTTACAGTGAGACAATAATTAAGCTTGTTTTTTTATTCTTTCCACAAACCATTAACCCATATGGAAAATAAAATTAGTCCCAAGCAGAACTTTGTCCAGATCTCAAAGGTCAATTCCCGAAGACAGTGCATTTCAAAATTGTTAACAAGACAGTTCACAGTTCAAAAGACTGAAAACACCAAAATGACCTGATACTTTAGTTTTAATAGCAGTCGTTGCAGAAAAGAAAAGAAAAGAAAAGAAAAGAAAAGAAAAGAAAAGAAAAGAAAAGAAAAGAAAAGAAAAGAAAGTATTAAGTGCTGCTGCTTTTAATAGATTGGAAAATGTAGCTAAAAAACTTAATACAACGCCAAATAAATAAACTATCGTGCAGAAGAATTATTTGATGGAATATAATCCAGTCTCTTAACTAAAAAGGGTCTTTTCAGCTAATAACACAGTAGTTAGTAAAATCTGTCACTGCACTCACTTGTTCTCTATTTCATCTTCTCAATATACGATCTGTTGTCACTTCCGGTTCGGGAGCCAATAGGCATATAAGCAAATCACGTGTTGGGCTCTCCTGTACTTCGACTTCCAAAGCGTCGGACCTGAACATAGGGTGAGTTTTCAAAACGAGTCTTTTTTAGTCGGTACTTAACTTTTCTGCCTATGTAGCGAATGTGTGCCAGTTCCGCAGTGTTTACCACGTTACAACGACGAGCTACAACCTGCTAAAACACTGTGGTAACTCAGCCTACTGTTGTTGTTGTCGTTTTCCCATAATCGAGCAACTCAGCATTGCGTGCATGGGGCTATCCCCACAGGCTATCCCCACATATTCCCCACAGGCTAAACACAATTTTCATGCTATTTTATCCAGCCACTGGCCTTTGTAGAACAATGATATTCTAATTCTGGGTTAATGCATGACAAAAACAGGGTACCTGAAGGTGTTAAAAAGTCTTCAAAAGCAATGAAATCAGTTCACAGAGTTCAGGCATTAGGGGGTATTAAAAAGTTCTACATTTCATTTATAAAAGTCTTCAATATTTTCTCTTGCCTGCCATAGTGAATAATGTTTCTGTCTGTGCTGTTGGGAGACATTGTACCCCTATAAACTAAAAGTTGGGTTGTTTTGACAGTCACTTTTTGCAGTGTGTCAGTCCCCATCAGTCACTGTCACTGCTTGTAGCTAGAGGAGCTAAGAAAATCATCATTTCATTTTGGACAAATGTCGATGTTAGCAGTAACTTCATAAATAAATAAGTTGTTACCTGAATATTATGACCTTCATGAAGGTAGAATTTGGTGCAGGACTGCTTTATTAGACTGCACTGGTTTCACCTATGTGTACCTAATCTTTAGTAGTAACTTTAGAAGATTTGTTTAACTCAGACTGCTGAAGCCCCATATTCACTTTGATTGGAAGCATGTTGGGAAGCAAGTAAACCCTGTTAAATTGTTCATGTGGGCACCTTGGCAGAAGGTGGCTTGCAGTCACAGATCAGGCTCTTATCAACAATATATTTGCATGTATACCTGTAAGTATATTTACACGCATGAGATGAAATGAGGTGAGAGTCCACTGGGCTGCAGGCAGTTGGGGACAGTGTTGTTAGAGAGAGTCAGTTAAATAGAAGAATCCTCTTGCTCTGCAGCAGAGAATCTTTTTCCCCATGTTCTCAGAGTCCTTTAAATGCCATTTGGCAAGCAGGCTGTCTTTTACTCAGAGTGGATTCTGTCTAGCCGCTCTACTGTAAAGGCCTGATTGATGGACTACTGCTGAGATGGTTGTTCTTCTGGCAGGTTCCTCCATCTCTGTGGGGGAGTTCTGAAGCTCTGTTAGAGTGAATGCTCATTTCTTGGTCACCTCCCAGACCCATCTTGTCTGGTTACTCAGTTTTGCTGGATAGCCAACTCTAGGAAGACTCTCTCTTCCATTTCAATATTTCTGAAGCTCTGCTCCTGGAAACACTCAGCTTCAGAAATGGTTTTACATTCTTGCCCCGATCTATACCTCACCACAAAACTTCATCACGGAGGTCTACAGAGAATTCCTGCATGAATTACACACACAGACGTGTGCTGTTCTAAACTATGTCCAGTCAGCTCAGTTTGGGGCTGGCTGGTTGCAAGGAGTTTTGTGTGGTTTAAGGTTTATTATGGAAAAGTATTACAGAATATTAGAATAATACATGGATTAGTCTATCCTTGAAGATAAAAGATAAAATGAGTGGTAAAACACATTTCCCCACAGGGCCTTTTACTGTAGGTTATATGTCAATGTGAGTGATATTGTAATAAAATGAACATGAATATTTGTAGCCTTAGACTTTCACTCAACCTTGTGTCTGTCAGTTATTATTAACTACAGTCATTATGGACAGTTGCCTTATGAATTCAGATTCAATAGATCTGTTACTATGTAATCAGCATTAGAGGTTTCATAATACATACTAATGTATGGGTGGTCACTTATGATTTTTCTGTAAAGCTGTATGGCGTCGAATGCAGCAGCCTGCTGTCAAACCATTTTGTGTCTCTGCTCAGAAATGTCTGCTGAGAAACAGCCTGTCAGTTGTTACTTCTTGGCTTAACAGAGATCGTTCTTGGATTGAGCTCATCTTTGTGGATTTTTTTTTTCTTATGGCAATAAAGTTTGACATTCAGAGGGTGGTGCTGTTCTCTTTTTATCTCTAACCACAGTGCCTTTGGGTGCTCATTCACATACAGTGCTGTGTAATATGTGATATGTGTAATATGTCATGAACTGGGTATATGTTTTAGCCCTGATATCTTATTTCCTGCTAAACATTACAACAGCCAATCAGAATTTTTAAAAATAGAATCTCATTTATTTGAATCAATGAATTGTTTGTGAAGGTGTATTTAAACATAATGAAATAATAAATGTTCACCACATTTGCAAAGATCTTTTTCATTCTTAAGAAGGAGCTTTTATCACCAAATCAATCTGTTGTTATTGTTCGTGTTTTGATCAGAGCAGCAGTGGAGGGAGCACTATGGGCCGCCTGGACGGGAAAGTGATTGTGTTGTCAGCCGCTGCGCAGGGCATTGGACGTGCTGCAGCAATAGTAATGAGCTTTGATAAGTACTTCACACTGATATCTTTCACACCAAATCACAGAGGAATATTTAAAAGCTGTTGTTTGCAGACTCAATGCAGTGTATATATTTACTTCATTACATACAGTAGTTCAATCAGTTCATGTGTATGCAAATGAAAGATTATAATGTTGCCGACATTCCATGATATCTTATATCTTCTGTACCAGCCATAGAGAAGCAAACATTTATTCTTGCAAATTACAAATCCACAAAGAAATATACAAACTCTTATTAAAAGAAAAAAAAAAGAATCATAACATTGGTTTATAGAAACAACCGTTTTCACCTTGCATGAAGATTATATATTTTTTGTTGTGTATGTTTCCAATATGCCATCACTCCACATGTTTGTGCTGTAAATAACTGTGCTGTATTAGTGATTCTTGAGATGCAAACACAGGTTCAAGACAATAATCATGCACAATTCTCTGCTGATGTTTTTGGCAAAGAGACAGAGGAGAAAACACTTGAAACACACATGACACATGCTTGTCAAGATTGGGTCATCATCACTTCTATTACCATAAGCGATGTCTTTAAGTGTGTGAAACCGAGCCTTGTGTTACAGTGATTTGTGTTGTGTGTGGTGTGGAGGAATTTTAAATATAGAGAGGTCTATTTACACTGTCTCAGATCATTTGTTACTATGTTCAAATCACATAGTATTAAAGGCTGCATATGGTGTGAAGTGTCTATTGAGCATTTTCTATTTCCAAAAGTTGCCTTTTTTGTTGATGTGGTCTGCTCAATGATACAGCCACTCTATTAGCTATTACATGACATGGAGGTAGAATGGATTGGAATTGAGAGCTGAAGGACTAGGGTTAGATATTGACATTCTGTGTCTATAGTCACTTGGTAATAAGATCTAGGTGTCAGCACTCTGTGCAGAATTATTGCCTTGGGTCAGAGGGAGGGACTTTTTGCATTCAGGCAGCAATTCAGTTTTGAGATGTAGAAAAGATTACCTGCCCCAATGTTCCCAGCCATCAGTTTATCTAATAAAATGGCTTTGATGTATTTTAGAATTTAAAGATATTTGCTTCAATCGTATCTATATTTTCCAAGCGAATACTCAGCTGCAAATGTTACAACATTATAAACAGTCATTGTGGAACGGCTTGTGACTGACTCTGGTTTTCCAACTGTAGGCATTTGCGAAGGAGGGAGCTCAGGTCACAGCCACAGACATCAATGGAGAGAAGCTGAGGGAACTGGACGGTACTCCAGGTAAGATTCATCTCTGTTGGTCTGCAGCTGCCATCTGCTGGACAACCAGTGTGATGCAGCCAAGATGGCTGAGCCAAAAATGTTTTTTCATGTTCTTTCACAACTTCATCATGATGATCATGTACTGACCGGTGTAACTTGGTAGCTATTGACAAGATACATTTGATACATTTCCATAGTTTATCCTGACAATTCTCTTTCTTGGGTAATGATTAGGTCTATAAAAAAGCTATAAAAACCGAAGGATACCACTTTACAATAAGATTACCCTTGTAAAGGATTTATGAATGGTTTATAACTAGTTTAATTAGCTTGTCAACACTTATATATATACACATATACATATACACTTATATAATAATTTATAAGCTGTTACACACATTAGATAAAAAGGGCAACAGTGACCTGGTGCTTGCCAAATAGTGAGCCCACATGTATTTGTACTGTTAAGCCTCATATCTCATTAGTTACTGAGCTGTCTTTGTTTTCTTCAGCAGCCAGCATTTGTACCTGCTGCTTCATCATGCTACATCATGTCTGATGTTTCTTCCTCTCATTTTTACAACCATTTGTTTATCAGTTACAAACATTTTATAGCTGGCAAAAAGGAGCCTTATTGTAAAGTGTAAAACGTTTCACCATCTATTAATGAGTTACTGTAAGGCTCATTTTACCATTTATAAATGGTAAGTTAGTAAGATTAATCAGTATAAAGCATTAACTTGATCTTGCCAAATAGTGAGTCTGCATCAATGTATGAAAACTGTGTTATAACTTGTTTATAATTGTTTGTTTATGATATATGAAGTGTTAACAACTGAATTAATAACCTAATCATAAACCATTAATAAATCCTTTATAAGGGTAGTCTTATTGTAAAGTGGTACCAACCGAAGATAGAAGAAACAGCAAATATCGTATTTGGCTTTTTTATGTTTGATTAATAGATTATCAAAATAGTTGATTTAATTTTCTCAGTCGACTAATCTAATTAATTGACTTGTAGTTTTATCTCTAAAATTGTATCCAAATTGATTCTTCTTTTTTTTTTTAAGTTTCAGTTTAGCAAAAATGGCCTACACATATGACAGCACTAAAGTGACATCTGACACAGTTTAATGCAATGGCTATAAAGTGCTGCTTTTGCTTGCAGTTTGGTTATACAAGTTAATTTCTGCTCACTGACCTCCACAATACATAATTAAAACTATCCTATGTATGTACATTTAGTCAGCGCACCGATCACTATTAAACCATGAAATCAAATGTTTTGGTAGACATACATACACTCACAATATTTTATTTTATGACAATAAAATGGAGGAGCAGCTTTATGGTAGAAAATTGACTCTTCTATTCCCTGCTGGAGCAGGGTTGAATAAATAGGAGGTGATCAACACTCTTCCCTCTCTCAACACCTCCTTTCAGGTGGCTCACAGGCAAAGCACTTCATCTCCAACTGATTTCTGTAGACAAGTTGAGTGGTCGGTAGATAGAGGTTGTACAAGGTAGCAGCTGTGAATGGTGTGAATGTGTGTAGTAGCTCCCCTTGTTTGTCAGTTTTAGGCAACAGACCATTTACTCAAGGCTACCGAATATAAGAAAATAATAGAAATGTTGACTGCTTCATATGAAACGCATATCTTCTGCAGTAAAATGACGTAAACAAATGAATCTCTTATTATGAAAGCAGTGCGGGCGACATCATAATTGACTGAGACCTTTTACCTCATCATCAACAGGAATCAAGACCAAAGTGGTGGATGTGACTAAGAAAGACCAAGTGGAAGCCCTGGCCAAGGAGCATGACCATGTAGATGTGCTGTTCAACGTTGCTGGGTAGGTTTTCATTCCTTTTTCAAGGAGTAATACCTAGCATACAATTTAATTCAAAGCAAAAAGAAAAATCAGTTCTTTCTGTACTGCCAACATGCTGTCTCCACATTAAGCATGTTTATCCATCTCCTGCTTAATTACATTTCCAAAATCCTTATACCATAAGGTTTAACCTCCACCTGACCTTTTAACAATCTCCTTAGCAAAGGTTTCCAAATTGGCACCTTTTAAAGCTCAGTAAAATTATCGGGGGGGGGGGGGCTTAAGCTGCATTTCAACTAGCATATATTTTTTGGGTTCAGTAATTCATTTCTCATGTGCCCTTCTATGTTTTGATTCTGACTGTCAGATGAGGTATTATGAGCCACATGTTAGGGCGTATTTTACCATTTTAGCTCTTTGTCATGTGTTGTATTATATACAGGTTTGTGCACCATGGCTCCATCTTGGACTGTGAAGAGGCCGACTGGGACTTCACAATGAATGTGAACGTCCGGAGCATGTATCTGATGTGCAAGGCTTTCCTGCCCAAGGTGACCTTTGGCCCCTTTACCTAATACTTAACACAGTTTATCCTGTTGTTGAGAGAATGAAATAGGTGCCGTTGTAAATGGAGTGACATATGCTTTTACTTTGTTCCCATCCTTTGTTCGCTGGGATTAGCTGTATTACTCCAAGCCTGTGACATGATGGGAGGTGACTGCCCAATCACTAATCCAGCTTTAGCTGCAAACTAACCAAACTGTCTCGAAGGGGAACTTTAGCTTGGATCATAGTCCTGGTTATGTAAAAATGTAAACCTAAGATTATTACATCATTTTAATTTTCATTTCACCAATTATAACATGTTTGTTTTCTAACTCTGATTTATTTTGTCGTTCTAGATGTTGGCAAAGAAGTCTGGAAACATTATTAACATGGCTTCTGTTGCATCAAGCATAAAAGGTTAACGATATTCCACAGAACTTTTCACTGTACATGTTTATAGAACAAATATTATGCCCAGCTAAAGGAGCATTAACTCATACATTGAAGTATGACCATGTACATTGTAATCCTCTTATCATAGATAATTGCTTTGCGTGTGTCTCTGTGTGATTGACATGTGTTTCTTTGACACAGGTGTTGTGAACCGGTGTGTCTATAGTACGTCCAAGGCTGCAGTGATTGGGTTCACCAAATCTATAGCGGCTGATTACATTGACCAAGGCATTCGCTGTAATTGTGTTTGTCCTGGTGAGTTTCAAAAAAACTGTGTCCTTTTATTTAAGTATTACTCAAGGTTACTAACATTTTAAGATACCAATGTCCTGTTGAGATCCTTGAGAGCAAATTAAATTGATGGTTTTAGAAAAACTGAAGGGCTTGTCATGTTTGAGGAAAGTGTATTTCAAAGATTTATAAGCCTTGAGTTTGTCTCTGCTGAGCAATTCTAAATAACAACTGTATAAAAAAGGGAGTATTAAAGCCTATTATACTAATTTATTTATATATTATTTTATATTTTCTCAGGGACTGTTGACACTCCATCACTGAGGGGTAGGATCCAGGCCCAACCTGACCCAGAACAGGTACTGTCTGCTCTGATGTACTCATTTTCTCCATTCTAATCTGACAGTAATGCCTGCATGAGTCATGTAACAGGTACATCTTATCTTGGTTTCCACTAGAAGAAATCCTGATGGCTGAGTATTGAAGATAATGAATGCTATAACTGTAACCCCTCTCTGCAGGCGTATAAGGATTTCATGGCAAGACAGAAAACTGGCAGAATGTGTACAGCTGAGGAGGTGGCGCACCTGTGTGTCTACCTGGCCTCAGATGAGGTGAGTGCTCGCAGAGTTAGCGCAAAAATGCAATGTATATATGTGGTATATTGACAGTAAATGAGAGTATGCACAGTATGCAAGCATAACCCCAATGTAACCTTTTAATACTCCAAAGATGTTACTTACATCATTATTTACAGTAGTGAAATAATCAACCTGATGTATGTCTTGTGTCCTCCACAGTCAGCCTATGTGACAGGGACAGAGCAAATCATCGATGGAGGATGGAGACTCTGAGAAACCTGTGGCAAGCTCATCATGTGGAGACAGCAAATCCCTGAACCGAAATAAAGTGTGCACTAGTTGATGATGGGTTTTTTTTTTAAAATTAATTTTGCACATTATATTTGAAGATTTTGAAGGAAGATTTTGCCATTGTCCAACTTTAATCTATGCTGCAAATGTGTCCATGTAGTGCCAAAATACTGACATTGGCAATTGTTGACATTGTGATGAATTTACTATATCACAGATACAGTATAACATACAGTACATATAATAAACATCTATTTGTAATACTTTTTAATTCAAAGCAATCTGGGTGAATCTCAATGTGATTAATTAATAATGAAATGTGTCTACACATTTATTAAAACGTTCAGCAATACACTTGAGTGATTTTTCCATTTAAGATAACCCCCCCCCCCCCCCCCCCCCCCTCCTTTTACCCAGCGCTCCTGTGCTCAGTACATACATGTTTGGCCATCACTAATCCGCCTCATTCCTACTTCCCAGCTGGTCTATCTGCTACAGCACTGCCAGAAACGCTGCCGCCTATAGTTCCCAAGAGATGACTGTGTGTACGATATGAGGTGAGCTGGGTTTTTTTTTTTTTTTTTTTTTAAATAATGTTACATGTATGTGGGAATGCCGTCAGAGGGGTCAGGAGTAACGGTCACTGAATCTAGCTAGCTACTGCGCTTTTAAATGGGAGTGGAGAGTTCACTGACAGCTGTTAGTAGAAGCACACAGGCAACTACTCAGCTACTGGTGATGGATCCAATATCGGACAACACTCAACACTTGCTAACTTTGAAGACATACCAGAAATGTGTCCGAGGAGGAAGTTAAATTGAACGTCACTGTATTTCCAGACGGCAGGCTTAACTATACCGTTGACGTTAACCTTGGTGTAACGTTAGCTTACATTACAGGGACTTCCCTCAACAATCAGGTCAACATAAAGATATTACTGCATCGTGTGCAAAGCCGACGCCATCTCACATTTGAGTAGGTTTGTGAAAGGATTGCTAGTTAAAGAACAGTCCAACTACATCGAAGAAATACGTTGTTACGAGCGTGAGTTAGTTGGCGGTAACGTTGTCCGATAATGGATCGACTGGCATGGTTTATCATGAGGGACGGATTTGCTCCTTATACAGCTAATTACTGTTACGCTAGCTATGGTTTCAGGTGTCCACTGTTCCTGCACGTGTGGGTATGGAGCCTCACTAGTGAACTGAACTAAAACGCCAAGTCAGCCCGTCCTCTAACACGAACTTTATTTAGCTGGTGAGCTGAATGGCTACCGAAGGATAGGTTAGTTGTCTGTAGTTGCTAGTTAACTCTTACCTACTGGAGCTAACGCTAGCTAGATGTGCCATATGGTCGACCTATAAGCATCGATTAGTGTGGTCTGTTCACAAGTGGATTAACGAGCGTCTGTCACTAGAGGCAACTGTCAAAACATTGTAGTAGCGTTAGGTTAGTGCACATTATTTTTCCAGCGTTTGTGTGGAATACAACTTGAACCAAAACTTAAAAAAATATATATATGAGCAGATAATGTGCTTTTCCAGTATAACACACATTAGGCAGCGTGTACTGTCACCCACATATATTCTCATTTAGGTATTAGTCATCTGGCTTGGACTAATTTTCTCTACATCATCAATACCCTATGCCCAGAGCCAGTGCAGTTTTTGTAAAATTCAATGAAAACCATGTCTTTTAAACATGGACATCTTAATGTAAAACCTGTAAGTTTGGGGAGATAGATCAGTGTGTGAGATTAAACTTACTTCATGTCATGCCAATGTCCACACCTGTACCAACATAGCTGTTCTCCATGATTAAGTAAACAATAATTTGTTTTCATACTGATAAAACCATGCTGTATGAATAGGAGCCAGAGGTTAGAACTGGACATACAGAAGCAGAAGTGAAGGAACTGCCCATCAATGGCCAACCCCACCCCTCAGCTTGATGTACTGTGACAGAGAAGTGAGTAGACCAGAAATACTGTAGCTAATTGCCATGGAGGACACTCAGCCCAAACCTGCTACCCCAGAGCCGAGCCTTGCACCCAGTCCTGCTCCTAGTCCAGCACCCAGTCCTGTGCCTGCGGCAAACCATGTTGAGGTAAGGTATTTTTCTAATGATAATCTCTTACACTACTTACTCTGGTGCAAACTTGTTGTATTCAGTTTTTACTGCCTCAACAAAACTGAAAGGTGTGCTTTTAAGCCTGATAATTGGTTTTTGGTAGATTGTCAAATTACTTTATAGGTTTTTTAATATTCACTAAATAAGAAATTTTAAGCCACATATAAATGATGTCGTGTTATGTGGTTCTAGTTCTTTGTCATCCATATTAGTCTGCTTTTTGTTGTTTTAATGCTTCAATTTTTAATGCTCCCCTCTAACCTTGTTAAATGAATTGTCTGCCTTAAATCATTTGTCCGTCATTTGTGAGAATGAATTGAAATGCAACCAGAGGCAAAGTCAAAACTTTGTGCCAATGTACCCAAGTGAGCAATATGACAAAGAGGGTGTTCTTGGAGTCACAGTTATCAGCTTCTTGGGCAAGTTCATATCTTCATTCTCTTATTTGCCAAGAAACAGTGGCTTGTAATCTGCTGGTATGACGTACCTGTGTGTCAACAATACTGACAGAGGTTTCGCAATTAGTATGCCACAGGAACATCCACCAGTTTTTTCAGTTTATCTTTTCCATAAGCACTGCATTCATATTTGTGTCAGTGTGACACCTTAGATTTGACGCTCTGTGTAAGATGCTTCATTTGTTTTGACTAGTTTGACTGCCCACTTGTGTAAGATCCAGATAATAAATGCACTGTGGAGAATTTTGGTGACAATAATAATTTAAGTAATTTGAAAGCTATTTTTGTTTTTTTCTCTTCACATTTTTTCAACAAGTGAAAAGAATACAGTTGGACAACACTCACCTCATATTTTTAAAACGTTGCTGGCAATTATTTAAAAAGCAGTTGAAGCTGTAAGCCAAAATACCTTTTTATCATGCATTGTCTTTACAGACATGGTGTTTATCACTGGCCTGTCCTTCATGTCCTGATTCTTCTTCTCTAGCACTTAAGTGTGAACCAGATCCAGGTGGTGGTACGGCGCTGCTCCAGTCCAAATGTTACAGAGGAGACGACCTATTTCATTCCTCGAAACCCTGTGGTGGATGCCGGCACAAACACAGACCCACCAGTGGTCTGCTGCCCCTTGCTCCGCAGATTTTGCCCTTGTCCACCAAGAGGCCTCCTGGCCTCTCTCATTACCAAAGGTAATAAAGCAGTGGAGGTCACCATGGCCTTTTTCCTAATATTTCTCCCAAGATTAGGAAAAACTGCAGATGACATAACTTTCCTGTATGCTCTGAAATCTAATAAATGCAACCATGTTGTAAATAAATAATTACAAGTATACGGTACAATTATAATTAATAAATATACACACATTAGTATTTATAGTATTTTACATTATTAATAGTATTAACATATTAATTCATTAATTCATCCATACATACATATATACAAATGGTAATATAGTAAGGTGTTGGACCGAGTGCTAACCCTGATTACTACTGTAGATTTATGTTCACAACAGCCTGTTAGAATGGATGGGTAGTCCATCAACGCTGAACTCTCAGTACCTTTATCTGTTCAGGGAACAGCATTGTTTTCCTATAAATGGCATCTGAGGAAGTTTTTGAGGTATACAATTGTAACACAAAAAAATGTCTGTAATAATTAATTTATCCCTCGCTCTCTTACTCCCCCACTTCTTTCTTCTTGTAATGTGTATAAGGGAATGATCATATCATTGTTGGCATTAACATACTAATGTCATTCTCCTCTGTCCCTTCCAGTCCTTTTGGCAGCTGTGCTCTTTGGAGTGGTTTGGTCTATCACAGAGGACGAATGTCTTCCAGGGGGAAACCTGTTTGGCATCATAATACTCTTCATCTGTGCACTTGTCGGTGGCAAATTGGTGGCTCTCATCCGTCTGCCTAAACTTCCACCATTCCCGCCACTCCTCGGTAAGACAGAGAATTCAGTGGTCATGTTTAATGCACTGGTGGGTTTATACAGGCGTTTATTTCATGTTAAGTTACACAGATTCCCTCACCAGGGTGATACTTAGTAACACAAGAGGGAAGGGAAATGCCTGCCAAGATTCTGTTCAGAACAGTTAGACAGATTAGAGTAATGGGTGCACTGTGGTGTCATGACGTTACCCATAGTGGTCCCAATCTCTTAGTCCAGATACCTACCTGTGTAACAGCCCTACCCTGAGTATTCAATATGTACAGTACAAAGAATTGTATTTGTTATAATTCAATAAAGTCAGTGTTAGAGCAACTTTTTAAATAACTACTTCTTAAAGAAGACTCAGACCTGACTGTAAGTTTCATGCATCACAGTGGAAGCACTTGAAATAATCTAAAACAAAGCTCAAATGTATTTGAGAAGCTGTTGATTGACATGAGTTGGCCAAACAAATATTAATGTTCACCTTTGTCATTGATGGAAAAACAAAACAAAAGGGAGTTCTGATTAACTCTACAATCATATGACTCACTTGCTCCATTCTTAGTCAAGTCCAAGGTAACTGCTGGTTTGTCTGTTTTGTTATTCTCTATTTTGCTTCTATTTTTCGTATTGTTAGCCAATACAATTATCATCTTGTTAAAATGTTTATCAGTGATCCTTGTATTTATTCAGAGATGTTAGGAGAAAAGCACAGTTTGATGTCGTCACTAATTAAGAAATTCAAGCGATGTGAGCCTTGATTAGATTCTAATTGAATAAGCCTGGTTTACCCAAGGTGAGGTACTGCCATTATTTTACATCAGCAATGCTGGCTTGTAATAAGTGAGAGCATTGATCAGAAAATAATATAAATTTCTTCTTTCCTAGCAATGGTTTAAATATAATTTATTGTGAATTCCTGGTGTCATGAATTGGGAAATGGATAAAGTCTCTAACTGCGCCCCTAACAAGATAAAAATCAAGGAAACTGGAGCCACTCCCCATTTACAATTGACATCAAAAGGTAGAGTGAAGTGCAACTTGGAGTTTATTTCTCTCTAAACTTCACTTTCCTGTTTTTCTTTTCTTTTTGGGCAAGTCCTCAAAAGAGTAGCCTAGTTTACAAGTTCAGTGTCTATTCATGTATATTGAAATATCTTTTGGCATCAACTGCCAAGAGGGTTGCTGTCATCGAAGAGTCACTCGTCTGACCTGACCGCAGTCATTAACAGTTTTAGATATCTGCTATGTACAGTATGTGTTCTTTCTCTTATTATAGTTCATAACTGTTTGACATGCACATCGGTGATGATAAATCCCTTAAATTTTGCATCATTTCACTATTCTTAATATCGTGTTCATTCTTAATAATGTAATATTCCCTCTTAAGTTGAATGTTTTTAGCAGAACAAATTAACAGTTGAATCATGAGGTTTTAGAGTAGGTTTGGATATTGCTGAAACTTGAATTGTTAGTGTTATAACGCAGTTTCCACAGTCCACACTGAGCCTCATAGTCTCAGGTGTCCAGCTTGAGCATCCAAAGTTCAAAAAGCAACAGGTGGGCTTTGCTCTCGTTCTGTAGCTGAGAGACCGTGCTAAAGAATAAACAGTATTTCATACTAGAAAGGATAATCTTTCCCCTCACACCGTGTGTTTTGTAGGTATGCTTCTGATGGGCTTCATGCTGAAGAACACCCCACAAATAAAGAAGGGGGTGAAGATTGACTTCAAGTGGTCTGCATCACTTAGGAACATCGCTCTGGCTGTCATTCTGGCCAGAGCCGGTCTCGGGTTGGATCCCACGGCACGTCTCATACTCCCCTCCTGGAGCTTAGTACCTGCACACAGAAATGTTTAGACATATAATAACTATGTTTTAGTCTTATCCCTGTGCATCGCCAATACTGAAAAATATTCCTGTCACTTCTACTGTTTAATTATTGACCCTACAAATTTTCCAAAGTAATGACAAGTCCTGAATAGAAATTCCCAGTTTCTTCAGATTGTTTAACTTATCTGACCAGCATTAAAAAAAAATCCAATGTTATAAAATGAGTAAAACCGAGTAAATCTTAGCCTTGGTGAACTAATCATTTAGAACTGCAACATCACATCACTGTATATCTGTACAGAATTAGATTAATTACATACTCATGAAATATGCATGTGTCTGTGCTGTCAGGCTCTGAAGAAACTTAAGTCTGTGTGTCTACGTGTGGCAGTTGGGCCCTGTGTGATAGAGGCTTGCACCACAGCTCTGGTCTCGCACTTCCTCATGGACTTGCCCTGGGTGTGGGGCTTCATCCTTGGGTAAATATAACACTGCTCACTTTCCTTTCTGTCCCCACTCTCCATTCTCTACTCAATTAGGAGAGACAGGCAGACACATACAGATTTGAGGAACCGTTTCCATTGTTTTGTGAATGTGTAGAAATAACGTATATTTAATATTTAAATTTCAACATTATTTTTTGACAGTAACAGCAAGAGGCCAGGAGATTCAGTTTTGCATGCAGCAAATCCAGGGAACCCTCAGGTGCTCTTGAAAATGAAAAAACAGAACAAAGGCATTCTTCAGGTATTGTAGGCAGAGCAAAGGTACAAGTAATATTAAAAGCCTTTATTTAATCTGGCATACAGATCTAGTTTGACCTCACAGGGTCTCTCTTTCTCTGTAATAGTTCTTATATCTTCCTAATAGAAAAAAATGATTTATGTGATTTTTAATTTACAACTGATTAGTATTTGCTCCATACTTCCATTATCTGCTGTGTGAGCAGCGTTTTCTTCTAGTAGATGATCGTGGAGTGAGCATGTTAAAAATTTAGAAATAAGATATGGAAGGTTGACTAACACTGTACAACTCACTGCACCTACAAGAAGCATGTTTCCATGGAGCAGAGAATGGAAACACACTGCTCCCTGAGCGTCACTAGATCACATTACACTCCCTAATCTACACACAGTTTATTGCTGAGTGATGTCTTTCAGGGTTGATGATACAACAAATTCATCTACTCTGAAAAAAGATGTGTATATGGTTGATGGACTTTTTTTTTGTCTGTGAGGCTTTGTGTTTCTTCCTTGTTCAGCATCCATGTGCCATCAAAGGTACTTGTCATATGGGGTTTTATTCACTGATGACCCGTTCCCCCTTGCCTGTTGCTTTGCTTATCAGTGGTTGGAGGGTTGAAAGGGGCCAAAACAAATATTTTTGTTCTGTGCAACTCAAATGTCCATTTTTGAGGCCAGCTTCATTTTAGAAACGAGAAAGATTACAGTGATTATAAAACATTGTAGTCATTTTTAGTAACTTTTTTCCTTTTGAGATTCATAGCAGAATTTTAATAATAAGACCATTTAGAGTTCAAAATCAAGTTTATATTTACAGCCCAGTATCTCATCTCAGATACAGTGTAAAGTATAAATACCTGTTTCACTCTGCTTCATTGTCTCCTTTTCTGTATCTCTCCAAGTGTATTCAATGGCTTTTCGGTTTTTCCAAAGGCATTTCGGTATTTGTTACATCTTTGTTGGAGTAAGTAAATTCATAAACACTCAATCTCCTCCACGTTGTAGCTTTGTGCTGGGCGCTGTGTCTCCAGCAGTGGTTGTTCCCTCCATGCTGCTGCTGCAGAAGGAGGGTTACGGCGTGGAGCAGGGCATCCCCACCTTGCTGATGGCTGCTGGCAGCTTTGATGACATTCTTGCCATCACTGGTTTCACCACATGCTTGGGCATGGCCTTTGCCACAGGTAACCTGCGTATGTATGTGTTTGCGTGTGTGGAGAAGTGAAGGGAAAAGAAAAAGTGCTGAATATATTGTTCTGTTTTTACAACACTACCTTATCTCCAGGGGAGTGGCATCCAGCGCAGTGTGTAGGTCAACACTGAGAACAAAATAAGTAACTTTCAGCCGTAGTTTGTCAGGAGCTCAGCAGAGGGTGTAAGTGAGCTCTTGTTGAAACATTTTTTGTGCCGGACCACAGTGCAGTTGTACCATAATGTAAAGTCTCTGTAGGGCTGCATTCAACTGCATGTAAAACCCTAACTAAGACCGTAAATCTTCACATATCTTTAAGACGATCAATTCAGTTAATTGTGTTGTATCAACTGTATATTTTCTCTGCTGATCCTTCTAGGCTCCACTTGGTACAACCTCCTTAGAGGGGTACTGGAAGTGGCTGGTGGGATGGTTGCTGGTATTCTTCTTGGCTTCCTCATCCAATACTTTCCTAGTGGTGACCAGGTAGGCAGCATTACCATGACATCAGCCAGTTTTACCACTGCTTAGTCATCCTTGCAGCACAGCCTGGGAAACCACAGCTGGTGTATGAAACAACCTCAGAAGAAGCGACAAAGTCAGCGAAGTGTTCTATATCTGATTAAAAAGTCTGTGGGAAAGTATACAGGGTCAAGAGTTTCCTTACGTGACAGATACGGCTGTATCATCTTAGCTCCAGAGATGTATTTTTATAACTTGTCACACTCAAGACATAGAAAAAAATCCTTGATTATTAATCAGTGTGAGATGAAGATTATATAGATGACAGAGTATATTGTGTGTGAATTTTGTATTAACAGATTTCATTATACTGAAATATTCTGTATGTAATCAGTGACTGTCTTTTTCTCCTAGAAACACTTAGTGATTAAGCGTTCCTTCTTGGTGCTGGGTCTCTCCATCTTTGCTGTGTTCGGCAGCAGTGTGGCTAGATTTCCTGGCTCTGGAGGCCTCTGCACCCTGGTGTTGGCATTTCTGGCCGGGCTTGGCTGGGGGACAGAAAAGGTAATAACACATGCATACAATATCTGTCGCACATACATTTTTTCATGCCTTGATCACAGTTGTCCATCTCTGAAAATGAATTTTGAGGTAGGCGGAAAAGTACATTGCATGATCAATTGTTAGAGTGTACCGCTCCCAACCTGTTGTTCTTCATCAGTACATTTATTCATCTGTACACTGCTGCATGTCAAAGACAACTGTACTAAACATGTTTGTGGGTTCTTTTTTCTTAAGGCACGTGTGGAGGAAGTGGTAGGGTGGGCGTGGGACGTGTTTCAGCCTTTGCTCTTTGGACTCATAGGAGCAGAAATTCAAATCTCTGAGCTGGAGGGACGCACAGTTGGTGAGACGACCACACACGCACACTTCAAAATAGCACAGTGGGATGGCTGCTGTGACTGTCAGGGATTCAAATGTGACTGTATGGATGTAAATGTATTTGCATAGCCAAAAAAGAAGCCTAGGGAGAGTTTTAATCTCTCTATCTGTAAATACTAAAACCTGAGTCTAATACTGTACTTCCATAGTTTCAGCGTGGGAGTTACTTATGAAACAGATCTTGGATTCCTTAAAGAAAAAACCTTATTCCTGCCAGAACAACACAACAATTTTATTATCATCACTACCCAGAATTCACTGACACAATTTCACAGCATCATCTTCTCTAGGAATATATTTGTAATGCTGATATACTGTATGTATTTGGAATGGTGTACAGAATATTTGTGCTTTGGGAGGAACTCTATGTGTCAAGGACAAGAACGTGCTTAAACTCTCTCTTTGGCTCATTAAAAAGGAGCAGATGTGGTGAACATTATTAAAACCTCAACGTAACTATTCAGACTTTTTGTCCTTTTGAGAAATGTGTTGATCCTGCTGCAGTCACTTTCCCAGATTGCACTATACTGTGCTCATGTTGCACCCACACTTCTAGTGATACGAAGTAGCAAAAAATCAGTTGGGGAATCTCTGTATGACTCTTGTCTGTTTGTCTGTCTAGGTCTGGGTATAGCATCCCTGCTCATTGCCCTCCTGGTTCGAATCCTGTTCACCTTTGTGTGTGTGTTGTGTGCGGGCTTTAACATGAGGGAGAAAGTGTTCATAGCCCTGGCGTGGATGCCCAAAGCCACAGTGCAGGTTTGTCAGTACTGAAATATTTGTCTGGAATTATATTTTGTGCTCAGGGTCTGAATTAAAGGAGTGTCTCTTTTCCAGTTTTTGTTGCACACATCAGCAGATGTTTTCCTCTGTGAACATCTGAATTAGAAGTACATACACTGAAATATTAAGTGTATGTTAAGTTTCAAGTGTTCCCTCATGGTGATGGTAAATGTTTGGTTTTTTTTTTTGTGAGTGAGCAGAGAGGAAACACTGCTATTGTCTTATTCCCCTTCAGGCAGCTATAGGCTCCACAGCTTTAGACATGGCCAGAACAAAGGAAGACAAGCCGCTGCAGAAGTACGGCATGGATGTGCTGACAGTAGCCGTGCTGGCCATCCTTCTCACAGCCCCTGTAGGAGCTCTTATTATAGGGCTCTCTGGACCTCTCCTGTTACAGAGACCGAAGAACTCAGCCTGTGGTGAGCGAGTCAAACCCAATTTATCAGCTTTTTTCTTAGGTAGGTAAAGTCCTACATTCAACAATTCAACTCAGCTCAACAACCCCGTCCAGTCTCGCTTCGTAGTTGTGTCCGAGTAGAAAATATCCTTTCACTGCAAAGCTTTTGCCTACCTCACCTTTGTGCTAGCTCTGTCCACTCAGACAAGGATTTGCATAGCTTTAGGTTGGCTATTTACTCTTGTCATTCAAGCCTTCGTATCTTTTACATCCACACAACAGTGGCATTGTTGCTGTTAGTGTAAGAATATTAGATTAACCACAGCGTAGAAATGCTGCTTATGAAATCAGACTTGTCTTTAGCACATTTTGTTTGTACTTCCTGTATGCATGTCTTTACGCTTTTACTGAAGCTTTTCTGTTAAATTGTCCTCCCTTGTCTCTTTCCCATCATGCAGGCACTGCAGCGGGAGGTGAAGATGATAGTGAAACTCCCATCACCTATGAAAGTACTCTCTGACACCACCTGTCTTCATCCAGCAAGCGAGGACATTTAATGAGACTTTCGGTGTGCATTCACACCTCGGATATTTGAGCTTTCTTTTAGCCACCGAGTGGCTCTCTTTGTCTCTCCATCTGCTGGTCAGCTCCTCATGCTTTGCCATGCTGCAGGAACACATGAATCATACTGTATTTATAGGCTCTGGTGGTTTCCAGGTCTCAGGCTGCAAACAAATGACCCACATCCAAGCATCTGCACTGTCATGCTGTATGTACAGTATACAACGGGTGGTTTTGGTTCTGATCCCAAATGAACGTTTATATATGCATCTATATATAATATAATATATATATCAGTGCGGGTGAGTATGGTTTACATTTTTGTTAAGGTGGCTATTGTTCCCACCTGTCATATTCATTGAATCCTATATTTGGCCATTTCCCATTTTTTATGACATCTCTTTAAACTATTCACTGTATCTGAACTTGAAAAGGTGATAATGCTGTATTTTATTATAAGCCATTTCCTTTGGAGGAGTACGTAATTGAATGTACTGACAGTAGCAGTTTTTTTTTTTTTTTTTGTATTAAATTAGACTACACATTTAACACACATTTAAGTTTTTAGTTGTTTTGCACTCAGTACATTTTTGCAGCTATGTGTTTTGTGTATTTTGCGTATTTTTTATTACAATATGTATTAGCTGTTTGTCTTGATAATGAGAAACAACTATTAGCAATTATTTGAAATTTTACAGCATTGAGTAATAGTTTTTCACCAGATATTGTTAAAACAATAAAAAAGAATACCAAGAATTGTCCACCTCTTGAATTTTATTGTGGCTATATGTAAAGTACATTTCTTCAAGTTGGTGAACCTTAATTCATCTGAGCAAGTTTAGGATTCAGTTAGTTTTTTTTTTACCTGGAAAACTCAGTGCATGCACCCACCAGTACTGATGAACTCACCAAATGGCTTCCTACAGACATCATACATTTGAAGTGTTGAATTGATTTCTTGACCACAATAGTTGAACTGACAATATTCCCATCGGTCTGTAAATAAATATGACTAAAATACTCATAACGCCTGTCCTCCAAATGTCAGGTGAAAACATGACCACCCTGGCAGAGGTAATTATTACTTGTGTTTGTTTTAGTAGGTATTGCTGTATTGTTAAATTCTTTTCACAATTTACTTAGTGACTGACTCACTTAAAGTTTATGAAATACTTAAACGAGAAAAACTAAGAGAATAACATAAAACATAATAACGAGTAAAAGTTATCCTGGAAAAAATAAGTGACAGACACATTTAGAAAGGAGTGTACTCTGTTTCCCCTTTCATTCATTTACACTTTTTTGTAGTAGGAACGGAAGTGAAGTGTTCCCCAGCTGTAACAGTGAAAGAAGGGAATGAAGCAGCGGTTGTGTTTTTGCCAAAACTGTTGAGTTAAACACCCTGACTTACCCTTTGCAAATTTTACATTTCAAATGCAGAATGAATGAATTCCAGCCGTTATCTTACAAAGGTTCATCAACACACAGTCACTCATCATGAAAATATAGATCAGACAATACAAACCATTAATGTATAAAATATTTCTGATGAATTGAAAAGGAAATGCTCCAGCAGGAAGTCAACTATATACAGCCATTCTGACAATACAGAGGCAAAAAAAATAACGGTACACAGCAAAAATATTGCTGCATAAGTTACATTGTCAAACCTCAGTAGGGTAGTGAGGTTAAAACTGTATATAACTGGATATTACTCAACTGCGCTATGATTCAAAATGTTTGAAGGCAACAGAGTTCAATAGAAAATGTAAAACTCAAAATGTTTAAAGGCTATGAAAAAAAATATACTGAAGAATACTAAGTAGCCTCCCATACACACAATAACTTATAAGAGAGTATTTCACATCCTGACAGTACGTTAATATTTGGCACACAGAAAATCTGAAGCAAGAGAAAGAGAGCTAAAAAAAAAAAAAAGACTGGCTGTTAAATAACGAAAGAATCGTCCAAACTGAAAACATACAGTGCAAAATGATGATGACAGGTTGGACAAGTATTAAGTATTTCATTTAAACAACCATTTAACTAGGAATTAATGTTTCCCCTGAAGGGTTCAAATTACTGAAAGTCAACATAACTGAGATTATGTTTCAAGTTTTCCGCTCAAAGTGGTCCCAATGCTTTGTCATTGATTCCAACTAGATTGAGACATGACCATAGTTGAATTTACAGTCATATAGAAAGGCTGTTCTGATAACCAACGAAAATGACCATAAAAAAACAAAAAGAAACCCGTCCTAACTGCACAATGCCATCAAAGAACCTGATATACAGTTTTCTCACAGTGAGACTGTGGAAATGTGTATTTTTATGTGTTAGGACCATTTCAAATAAAGACTCAAGTTCATTTTTCTGACCAACATAAACATGACACCAAGATCGAAAAAAAAATAAACAAAACTACAGACTGTTAAGAAATGAAAACTAAAGACTGGGGAGGTGAGAAGATAACTCCCATTAGCGGTTGATTATAGTATCTTCTTTTTGAGTATGAGCGGTCCCACGTTGTCTCCAGTCAGCTCATTGTGCTTTAAGTGTGACTTGTCACAAACAGGAAACTAAAACAGGAAGTAACTTAATATTAGCTGATCAGCAAGACACAGAAACATACATACATACATACATACATACATACATACATACCTTAACTCTTAAAAAAACATGAATGAATAGAAAAAGTCAGGAAATAACCTGTCAACTTACAGTTTTGGAGCGCCAGCAGCGACAGTAACACACATTTGCACTGTTCAGGTCCTCGATGTCTATCTCATTGACAACTTTGGGGTTCTCTTTCTGGATCTTCAGGTTGATCAGGCTGTCTCTCTGCTTCTTCTTCTTAGGCAGAAATGGGCGAATGGTCAGATAGCCCAGCAAAGCCAGGATACCCAGGAGTGGCAACAACCGGAGCCACTCAGACACTAAAGACATTCACATTAGCAAAAATACAAGCATTACTATGAGCACAGGCACATGTTCACTCCTGAAAACTTTGTTTCCTGCAGGCTGGAAAATAAAGTTGGGGATGGGGATGTGTGGGGCTTCATGTGCACATTGGAAACTTTTAAATCTTACACTTCAATTCAGAGCTGACACAACTGAGCAGCCGTTTTGATTTTTGAAAATAATAAAAAGATAATTTTGATCGCATCTGGGAAACAACCACAACACTGACAGTTCACCTCTTATCCTCATTTCTATTATACTGAGTGCCATCTCACACCAACAGCTACTAGAGCCCACTGAACTACACTGAGCTGAGGGAAGTGCTTTGGGAAAACCCATCATACAGGCCACCATACATGGAAAAGACAGACAAGTGAAGCACAGTGAGGATTAACCACAGTTATATAATTTTACAATTAGCTACGAGTTAGACCCCAGCTCCTGGAACTTTTGATAATACTCTTATGGCAATTAAAATACTTTCAATAAAAGGATTTTGATGCCTAATGGGACATTGCTAATCCTTAATCTCTTTAAGGAATTATATTCAGTGTATTTTACATGTAGGAGCACTTACTAAATCTGAACTAACTAAATAAGTCTAATGTCTAACTTAAGACAAAAAACAGAAATGGGATTTATCTTCAGGCAACATCTGGAAACATCGAACATCAAACTGAAGCTCTGAATGCTAGGACTTTAGCAAATCCTAATTAATTAGTACTACAATCACATTACTCTTTTATGGCCTTCTAAGAGAAGTACTACTCAGATGTTTCTAACACGTCATTTGTCACAAAAATATTTAACCAATGCATAGCTAGCTCTGCTTTTTGACTTTTTTGAGCTATTTTTAGGCTAAATTCGACACTTTCCAACGGTCTGTGTTGGCTGAAAGGTCAAGCTGAAGTGGTTGATCAGCTTCAGGATAGACTTTCACTGCAGTATCCACTCACACTCCTTTATTTAAACATTTTTATTTTGTTTACTATTTCAGTGACGTGCTGACTCCTGCTGTTGAACATTTCCAAACACATTAATGCATTAGCTTTTGCCTTTTGTGTTAATAGGTGCACAAAGCCATGTTTGGAAATGGTGTGGGACAGTAAAGGTTTATATGGAGACATGGGTCCACAAGATTTGTGAAACTTATAGGTATGCACTGATCCAACTTTTTATTTCCTAATACCTATGCTGACACCTAATCTGCAGAAAGGGTGGATCCAGTACCAGTGCTCTTTGTCCCAAATTTAAACTCTCACTGCATGAAACTCATCTGAATCATTTTAATGTCAGGTATCAAATGGCAGCAGCCTGCCATGACTGAATGAATGTAATTGATAGCAGAAACCCTGACTAGCTCTGATCATGAAATTGTATTTAATGTGGATTGGTCACATCATAGCTGCTACCCTACCCCATCCCCTACTCTAATCAGTAAGAAAACCCCAATATCTCACATTTGAGAGGGTGGAACCATTAATTTCTGGCATGTCTTGTTTGAATCATTTATGAATGTATGTAGATGAGCTGATAAAATAATCAACTTCTCTTTTACAGCGCTGTTTTAACTAACAGCTTAATTATCTGGAAATTTCCTGTTTTGTAGGAATGATGAGATCATGGGTCCAAGAATGGGGTCACATGCCTGAAAAGGTTGTCAAACAAGGATCTTGACGCAGACTGTGTTTTGAGACGACATGTACTGAACCCTCTACTCCAGGATTGTCATGCCTGTGCATCACTTGATGGTAACACAGACTGAGGTGGGTACATTTTGTACAAGAGTCACACAATCGTTAGATTTCCAATTGTTGGGATTAGCAGGACATGCTGCAACTTTTACGATGCAGACACTTAATGGTCATAACTGTGTCCACATTTAACACAGAGGCAAACTTATCTCTGCAGTGTTGCATTTTAACAGGTACTACTTTAAGGTCATTGTTGTTGCTAAACAGAACTACAAAATAAAACGAAACGAACGAAATTTACGAAGGGTTTAGCAGAAACTAAGCAGCAGTTGAGGACATAGCACAGGTTTGGTTAGACACTCAAACACACACTTAGAGCGCGTGTGTTTTCGCTTGCAGGCTAGCTAAGCTGCAGAGCTCTGTGCTGAAAAGTGTCCCCGATGAGTTCAGAAGTCATCTTTACAGGACAGTCAGAAATGCAACACAGCTGCTGCTAACTTACCTGTTAACCTTGCAAATCCACCGATCGTCTCCGGTAGCGGAAGCCTCTTGAGGTAGGCTGGAAGCTGGACTTTTATTATCTTTGAAATACTTTCTAAAACCATCTTGATTTGCTCAAATGGGCAGGTTTGCCTTGAATAGTTCCTGGGGTTCGTTTATGTCATTGCGTTCATTTCTGAGCGCATATTGTCACCGGTACGTACACCCCTCCCATGAAACTTGAAAACGACCGGAAAAAAGCGTAGACGGTTTCGTGAATACACGTAATATCGACCTATGACGGTAGATAGTGTAACCAATCAGCGTTGGAGGAGTTGGTGGCTCCTGATTGGATAACTTGAATTCGGCGTGACGGAGCCACGGAGTATGGATGGAGGTGGTTTCTACTTAAAGTGATCCCAGTAAAATTGTGTTTTTAAAGACGTATATAAAGTAACAAAGGAGAAAAAACACAATAATAAAATATTTTATCTTGTGATTAAAGCAGTTTGTGACATTGTGTGTTAATAGAAAAAATATACTTGCATGTATTTAATATTAAATGACACACGTGCGGTATGTATGCGTAATGTTATAAGCTATAAACTACTACAAACTTTGATCCTGTAATGATTAACTGTTGGGAATACATGTTCCTCATGATTAAATACATACTAATTAAAGTTACCACTCTCTAATCATTTGATCCCTATTCCATATTCCACAGTCATTGTGTCACCTCACTGGATTTTTCATCACTGGATACATTACATTTTTTTCATAACTTAACAACCCTGCTTATCACACTGTACAACATTTTCATCATGATGGAAGAATAAAAACTCACAAAACAGAAATACTCAAGGAAAGTTCCAGTACTCAAAAACTATTTACAGTAATTACAGTAAGTGAATAAATGCACTTAGCCATATCAAGCACGGACTCTTTATGATAATTGTAATTATACACACAACATACACGGTTAATTAAATTCCTGGCAAACTGTGGAGAATCCTGTTCTGTTAGCTCACCATGGTCACATTTTTATATACAGTTTATGGTCACATGTCATAACTTACAAGAGGAAGTGCCATAAAAAGTGACAGTGACTCTTCATTTAATGCCAGCCACAAAGCTGCTCAAAAACTAAAGAGCTAAACGTTCCCACAGATTAATGTGTCATATAAGATTTGGTTGTATGTATATGTAAATAAATAAATAAATAAATTATCCTTTTCCTGAAAATATGTGGTTCCTGGCTGTCCTAAAAAAATAATGTTCACTGAACTGGATTTGGGGCAGTTTGAGAAAAATCACCATTATGACATTAGGAGTAGTCAGACTTTTAATTAAGTAATTAAGCAAAGATTCCTTGACCTGATCACCCATGGCTGCATGTGAGAATTAATGGAAATGGAAAATTAAAATTTAGAATATACAGTTAAAACTCAGGAGAAGGTTTTAAGAGGACCTTTTTCCACAATTCTTTCCAAGGTCAAGAATGAATTTGAATAAATCTGAACATTATTATTATTATTATTATTATTATTATTATTATTATCATTATTATTATTAGTGTTGTTGTTGTTGTTGTTGTTGTTGGTGGTGTTGGTGTTGGTGTTAGCTAGGGGTATTCAGGGTGACATTTACTGAAATAATCCTGCTGTGCCCTCTAGTGCTGACAAAGCTTTCTTTCAAGTACTCTGTAGAGAACTTCAATACCCAGAAGTCCGTGTGAATTTATGCAGCCCACTATATTGCCTGGACTAATTTCAATGCCGATATTTGTCTTATGTACTAAATTCACAGGTCATAAAAACCAATATTCAGACAACTTTAAGTAAATCTCAAATACCCGGAGTTCGTTATGAAACAAATATATTTTAAAGCTGATTCAAAAATCCACGGGGATATTCATAGTCAGCTAAAGTACGTCTGTCAGGTCTTCAGCCTCCGGTGTCATTGGTGAATGACCGAAGATGTCTCACAGCAGGTTGTTTGCCAGGCTGCTTTGTAAGTATTTTTAACAAATCATAGTTTTAATCACCTGGAATATCCCACAGTTTAGTTTCTGTAACAGAAGTATATTCGTAGGGTCTGTGTTGTACATTAGCTGAGCTTTGCAGGGTCTCACTGTGTTGCACTGGCTAGCAAAGCTCCCCTGGGTTGGCTGTCAGTTAGCTTCAGGGCAACTTAGCCACATTAGCCTGCCGACCGAATATACTGGTAAAGCTCATTGACAGTTAGCCAGCAAGCTAACTAGCTAGCTTTGCGCTAACGTCCAACCGAAATCTAACTTTAACCCCCAGGCCAGGGCAAGTGTTGATCTTTGACCTTGCATGTCCTCGCCACAAAATGTACCGTGTCCACTCACTCTGCCCCCGATGTTTTGTCAATGTGCTTCTTGTTCAATTTTCACTCAGCAGTGACTGGAGGCAGCCAAAGTAGCGGTTGAGGCACTGTGTCTCCAGCCTGTATGCTCACAGCTCGCTGCATTACAGAGATTTGACATCTAAGCTTTTTTTTTTTTTTTAGATAGTGCTTTGACAAGAATACAGTTGGTGTAATTGGTTTATATTAAGACTCAACGTTTGTTTAGTAACAGTAATTTTTTAGGACACTGAGCTTAAGTGAACTTTACACAGTGTCATTGATAAGTTGTTACTGAGGCACAGGAAGAAGACCAAAGTTCAGTCATTCAGGGTGAATAATGTTCATGTATGTCAGCCTTGTGTTGCACTCCTGTCAGACTGCACACAATGTGAAACCAAAGTATGTCATTTAGTCAAATCGTTGCATAAAGTTGAGTCCTCTGAAAGAAGTTATTTTAGCTTTAACACCATACAGATGGTCACATAGTCATCAAACTCTTTCTTCTATGCACTTTGTTTTTAATAACTGTATGTAGCTTTTATTTAATACCTTTTTCTTGCAGGGATGAGCTCATTCACATTTAATAAAGGGCAAATCTATTTGATTAATTTAATTGGCTTAAAGTTGTTGTGCACTTGTGAATCAGACTAGTGAACTGAATAGTAGCATTCAGTGTCCCCTTTGCTTTATGTGTTTAAGGAGCAAACAGCCCCATGTGACATTTGAAAAGCTAGAACCAGCAAATGTTTGGCCTTTTTGCTTAATACATTAATCAAACAATGAATTGATCATTAAAATTTTCATTTTCCACTTTCCTGTCTGTTGATTCAAGGATCAAGTATCTATCTATCGGAATTTACTTTGTAGTTTAAATTCTGTCCCCAATATGATGCATGCACACATGTTCAAGTCACCGAAACAGTGCTGCAAAGAGAGGTGGCTTTGGTTTAAAACCTATGAAACCACATTAAAGGCTCAGATTAAACATCCGTCTAACCAGTTACTTTGTCTGTAGTATCTCATTGTGATGTTGTGAATGGTGCAGCAGCATGTTGCTAGTTGTATCTGTAATGTAAAGTTGTTATATAACACTCACTTTCACAGTAGAGTTAAAACTTGATAGAGCCTCCTCAATTGCACTTTGACCAGAATGTGTCTCGCTACTTGCTGTGTCTAAGACTGGGATTTGAAGACAGCTGTGTGACAATTCTGACAGTCTGCCATGAAGTCATTTGATACAATGTTTTAAACACTGATTACTGCAGTTCTGAAGAATGTTGAAGGGCACCATTGCACTCTAGTGAAGCAGTAATATTCCACTTCAAAAAATATTGTTTTAAATACAGTACATGCTGTTACCCAGCGATTTGCCAGTAGTGCCCTTTTTTGACATTGATAGCATTATCGTACTCAGGAATCTTGGCGAGACCTTTGCAGTGAATGATAGCACAACACTTCCAATCAGTGTAATTAGACATAATGTGTTCTCATGTCATATTTTCTTCAGCAGTTGACACTATAACAACTCCAATAAGCTGTAATAAGCAACCATCTCTAATTAAAAATTATGCGCAGCAAGAAAACCTAAGAGTGTTTGTGGTCACAGGTGCAGTAAAACTCAGCTGTCAAGTCTGAGAAAAATAAAAATTGTCACTCAGCAACAATAAATGATAGTTGCAGAAGCAAAGAAACCTTTTCCAAAACACTGCAAGGTCTACAGTAAAGGATAATTTCTTGGAAGAAAAGTGAATAGACCACTCATATTTTAACCTTACTCTATTCAATGTGAAAAGAAAGTTTCGCTTTTGTTGAAAATATAAGAGAAACTGTTTTTTGTTGAGTTTTTCCTCTTCAAAGCATATTCAATTTATATTAAAGAAAGCTTAATGTGTATTTTGCACATCTTAATGAATGGATAAAGGCTTTATATGCATGTAACAGGACAGGTATTGTCCTGCTTTTCTTTACACAAGTGGATAGGAAGATTTGATTGTTTAAGGTTTTGATGATTATTATTGATCTGTGTATTGTCACCTAAAATCAGTCTGTCTTTCTCCAATCAGTGCAGCAGAGTGGAGTCAGGCACTGTTATACAGGATCAAGAAAGAACCTCTACATCAGCAAGACTACCAAGGTCATCTGCCAAGGTTTCACAGGGAAGCAGGTTTGTACTGACAACTTATTACCATTAACATATTTTTTAATTATTGCTTCACATTGGATTAGGTAACTTTAACGTGAAATCTCACAAACACACACAATTCCTCTTTTTTTGTGTCACATTCTTTCTGTATGAAGAACAAAAGGTCCCGGAGGGCAGTTCATTGTCCTATAATTCAAAGATTTTCTCAGATTCTCAGATTTCAGATTCATGATCTGTGTAAATGCTAAAAACTTGACCTTGGATCAGTTGATAGAGTTGTGATTTACTGCAGTTCACTGTTGTGAGAGTTTTTTGTTTTTGTTGTTGTTGTTTTTTTGCTTTTAAAGGTCTCTAAATCAGATTTGTTCTTGTTTTATTTCAGTAGATTTTTTTGGGTGGAAAAAATAAACTTTCATTTTTACTTAAACTTCAGTTTTTTCCACATGACTACCCTTAGTCATTGTTTCAGTCAATAATAATAACTTTGTGTGACACTTTGTTGATCCTTCCAGTTATTTTTCAAAAGTATGAAAAAGTGCAGGTGATTCACTTTGAACCACTTCCAGTCAAGGAGAATAAAAATCTTGGCAAGTGTGTTCAACAAGCCAGAAACACGGACTTTACAGATTTATGTCCCTCCCTCTGTCCTTGTGCACATTCCATTTTTCATCTTCCATTTTCTCTTCAACATAATAAAAGGTTGTTAAATATAGTTCCAGCGAACACTCTGGGTAATTAGAAAAGGATGAGGAATGAAGCAAGTGCTATTGAGTGCACATTTTCATGTCTTTCTGGCTTGATAAGCAAACCATTTTTCAAATTTATTGTCCCAACATTTGCGATAATAATGACTGGCAAAAACAGCAAAGTTAGCAGGGTGAAGGAGTACATTACATTTGGGGAAAAATGCTGATTCATAGCTTCTAATTCCTCTTAATAGGCTAGTTATAATTTTTACATTAAGGTCATTTATTTGCACTTGTAGTTATGACCCTTGGCTACTTTATCTACATTGTTTCAGCATCTATTCAGCAATAATTAACTGACTACAGACTGATAGGGCCTATGCAGCTGAAAATCAGTTCATACCACCTTCAAACACTCATTCTGGGAAAGTACAATTGAGATAATGATTTCACCCTCCAAAATACATTCTCCTCTCTTTACTGTTATAACCGCTTTATGTTGTTTATTATCATTTCAAATGGGCCCTGGATGGGATATTTGTACCGATCACAGAACAGTATGAACTACAAGTATGAACTACAAGTACTAACACTTGGCTGATATTCCAAACACAATTATCATGTCTTTATGCATACTGTATGTGTTCTTCACATTTAGTTTCAATCCTTTGTTTTGTTTGGAAAGTTGGAAAAGTTTGGAAAATCAGCTTATTTCATGTTGTCTCACAGAATCACATATAAATTTTGTGTAGGCTTGTCCCAGCTCTTCATAGAAGCTTTATGTTGTTCAAACTGGGTGATATATTCAAACTTTAAACTGCATTTTGTCTGACATATTTGATATCTATGGGTTTTAACAAAGTCTGGCTGTAAAGCATGAGTTTGTACTGATTTACCCCCCACCCCAGCCCCGGTGGATTTGTGAGATGTAAAGGGGTAACAGTACAATTCACAATACAGGTTGACATATAGATAGATATATTGGTATCTTTCTATATGTTGTCCAACAAGTAGCAAGAAACTGTCAGACAGAGATGCCAGAATATGTTTCAGGTAATTTAGAAAATGTGTCTCCATTACACTGTTCGTCCCCAGAGGGCACTGACGAATTTATTCTTCAAATGTAAAAGCTTTCCACTCAGTACCTAGATTGCTCACAACTCTTAATTGTCTTAGCAAAAATGTTTATGTTATGAAATAAAGTTACAGTTGGCTCATATATCTTATACATGACAGCGTATCACTGATGTATCACATTTATTGGTATCAGCCGCAAAAGTCAATTATTGATGAGGTTATAGTGTTGTGTGGTAAAGAATAATCTGTTTGGAATAAAGTAAAACTACATCTTTATATCTATCCTGCACCATTATTAGCATGGATACATCATGCATTCATAGTGTCTGTGTGCTTAATCACTTCCATTGGTGCTAACTGCCACCGCCCCAGATATATTAAGGTCCTTCCTTCTCCAAAAGTACAACACAAACTCACCAGATGTGTGTTAGAAACCAAAGCTCCAAAAACATGGGCACTGTGTTAGCATGGGGACTGTCTGAGGTTTAAATATGTTTCCCCTGACAAATTAAGAAAAGCATCTGAAATGCAAAATTAATTAACAAATTAGATGTGTTTCTGATTGGGTTGATGCAAATGAATCGACTTCATGACTGTCAGGAATAAAATCCTCCGACTGTGGCAACCATTACAGGTTCCCTATAGCCTGCATGGAGGCGACAGTATGTCAGATATTTTTTTGTAAAGTATCTTTCTTTGGAGATATTTTTCAGTCACTGTTGGAGAATATCCAAAGCCGCTTTTGATTTGTTTTTTCAAATGTTCTGCAAGGAGATTAAACTAAGCTTACATCATTATTTATCTGTCAAGAGCATTTCGAGTCCCTCTCATTGAATATATTTACCCGTTGCTACATCCCTAGAAGAACCCAGCCTCACTTCTGTACCCATCCCTTTACTCAGAGACACAGGTGATTAATCCTGGATGGCAGCATATTTCCTCCTTCCTCTCTGTCTGTAATGATATCTCAAGGTTGACACTGCAGAAGTGGCTGTACCTTACTTCATTACACACTCGTACACACACTGACTTCATCTTTCCCTCTTCCCTTGTAGGGAACGTTTCACAGTCAGCAGTCTCTTGACTATGGCTCCCAGTTAGTTGGAGGTGTTTCCCCTGGCAAGGGTGGTAAGACGCACCTTGGCCTGCCAGTCTTCAACTCAGTCAAGGAGGTATGTATGGCTCCTTATCCCTCTGTGTTTGTGTCTGTTGTGTAAATATGTAAATATATTAAAAGATAAAAACTGAACTATGTGGTATGGAGCTGACAGATTTGCAGCAAATATCCTGTAAAAGACTGCAAAGCTTTTTACAGATGTTTTTTTAAAGAAACATTAGGTGGCAGTATTTCATAAGTTTAAAATTTCCTTTTTTTTTTTTTTTCAACACATCAACAATACCTTTTTATTCCTTACCTCAGGCAAAGGAGGGCACAGGGGCAGATGCCACTGTGATTTATGTACCTCCTCCATTTGCGGCAGCAGCCATCATCGAGGCCATTGACGCAGAGATACCCCTGGTGGTGTGCATCACTGAGGGCATCCCCCAGCAGGACATGGTGAGAGTCAAACATAAGCTCCTGCGCCAGGGCACCACCCGCCTCATAGGCCCCAACTGCCCAGGAGTCATCAATGTAAGCTCACACACTCTCTCTCTCTCTCTCTCGCTCTCTCTCTCTCTCACACACACACAAAGACACACACACATTGATGCACATTTTGTTTTTGTTTTTTGTTGTTGTTGTCTTGGCTGAGAGGGCCGAAAGCACAAGCTCCCTCTCAAGGGTCCAGGAGTAATTCAAATTTAATACATTAATATTCTGCTCAGTCAAACTAAAACCTTAAAGGAACATGATTTTCTTATACTGTTGCTTTTGTTTGTTTGTTTCTGTGTTGGTGGTCGCATTAATGTTATTGTTTGGATTGAATAATACTTTCTGGATTTTAGTGTATAGCAAAATTTGCATTTGGACCAAGAACAATTAAAGAAGTTATCCTTACTATACTATACTAAATTGTTCTTTTGCAAAGAGAAATATTTTGTTCAGTAAAGAAAAACAAGTTAAACAGGAGACTGAGTTTGAAGGTGAGGAGCTAGTGTTCACAGGAATAGTGAAGTTAAAAAAACAGAATCGTATGTTTGAATGTCACAATAAATGGTCTTTGATTTAAAATGTATTCATTTGCAGCCAGGAGAATGCAAGATTGGGATCATGCCAGGCCACATTCACAAGAAAGGAAGAATTGGTGAGATTTTCTAATTTGTCTGTGAAATCGCACACTATATATTCTTTGTAAGCATTTAATTTATACAGAACAATATAAGTTGCTTTTTAAACGCTAAAAGTGATATAAGAATATTTGCTGAATGACAGCTTACAGGTTCCTTAAATGCTGACTGAGGTCCAACAAAGAAAGTGTGATGGAAAAGAAAGGGGGGAAAAAAAAACGTTAATCATACTAAAATCTTCCCAAATCATTTTCTTACAGCACCGTACTTAAATCCTAGATGTAGCTTCTGCTGTTGACAGCTTGATAAGCAGTGTGTGCTGCTGCTGGCCAGTGAACCTTTACAGGAAGTCTGTTTGTATAGTAAATCGACTGCCATCATTCTCAAAGCATACGTAGAACAGCTGTTACAGAACTCTGTTATGATGGTGATCTTTTTTCTTTTTGCTGTAACATTAACAACAATTCAGGTTGGACAGAAAAAGACAGCTGGATCTTATATCATTTTATCACCCTTGATTGCAGCAGTGATTTAGTACGGTTATTACCAAAAAAATAAAAACATCAAAAAATGTTTTCTCAATCTGTCTTTCAGGCATTGTGTCTAGATCCGGTACCCTGACATATGAGGCCGTGCACCAAACTACACAAGTGGGCCTGGGACAATCTCTCTGTGTTGGTAAGATAGCAGTGATCTGTGGCATATTGAATTTAAATTTAGCACACAGTGACACAGCTTTTAGTGTTATATCCAGACATTATTAACACAAGCAATCAGCTTGAAATAAAATAACCAAGTTTGCAAGAAACTTTGTATGACTTCGTGGGTTGTAGGAAAAAAAATTAGGAGATTTAGAAGACCTAGGACCTGAGTTACAAGACATAAAAAGAGACGCTGTACCAAAAGATGGGTGCTGTAATGTCTCTATACGTTTTATCTTTAATGATTTCTCCAGAGACACAAACTTGTATAAGCATCTTCCTTGACTTCCTGGGAATTGTAGGGCGATCTACCTCATTCACCTTTCACTAAAACTCATTAGATGCTGATGCTGATGCATTTCATTTTATGTCAAAAAAGCCACTTACCAACTATCTGATCATTGCTTTGAATATCCCTCTCAGATCGGAACATTGAAGTTGTTGCTTTCTTTTTAAGGGCTCTATTGAGATTGAACAGGCACATTGAGGGGCAGATGGAAGTAGAAACTTTTTAAAATGTCTTTGTCCTCAAAATCTTGAGAAAAGTGAGTTTCGTCTCTGATTCGTGGTCAAGCTAATTTTTGGTCTCTTCACAAACCAAAGGGGGGGAAATTTGTGATTCTACATCGCGTAGTTGAAACTAGACGGTTTCAAAACTGAACGACCTTGCTACCAATAAAGTATTACGTATATGATCATCCTCAATAGATGCATCTTGCTGCCTCTTGTTTTCCAAATCATGATCCTTTTTGATGCAATTGAATGTGAATGTCACAAAGCAGCTTATTTATTTGGTGTCAATGATTCTGCAAACAAAGCCTTAACATTATGACACACTGGGAAATAGAGGTTATTTTTTAATGTTTTAAAAGCTGTTAGATTCATTCCAGGTTTTGCTGTATGATTTCCAGGTAATAGTCATTTCTGCAGCTCCCAAGTACAGATGTGGAACTTACCATTACTGCCTGTTATTACCTTGTTTTTCTTCCCCACGAGTTCTCACAGTCGTATTTCTGTAATTTACTGTCTCTGACTGTGGATTAGTAATACATCCAGCTTCATAGCACAGCTTGCAGCTGAGATATTATATGGTACAGTCTTTGTTGCTGCCTTCAAAAACAAATTTAACTAAATTATATATTCATCAATCTTATACCAGCTTGTTGTCATTCTCACCTAACTGTACCATTATACTTAACTCTCTTAGGTCTTGGCTACACAGCAAATATAAGATTAACTCTTTTTTAGAAGAGAAAATTATTTTCGCTGACTTATTTGCCACCAGAGAATCTGTATTAAAGAGCTGGTTGGACACCCGAATTAACTGAAAAACAACCTGGCTTCATTATTATTAAGACATTTTAATTACGAGTGTCCTCTAGCCAGACTTCATGCAGCCAGCGCCGCAACAGTATTAAATATTGTAGAGTTCATTAAGGGGGTTTATTAGTGGTTCTGCTAGCAACTTCTTAAATCTGAGAATGACCTAGGGGCTACAGCAAATTATACTTAGTACAATATTTAATATCACTGTCATCATTGTGGCTAGTAATGTGGTTCTCTTTTATTATTATTCATGTAATCTTTTTTTCTTTGTGTTGGCCAGGTTTTTTAATGGTTTGAATATAAATTTAGGTGACATTTTGTCTGTGAAGATTTGTCTTGCAAAGGTTTTGCCCAAGCTTTTATAGATCCTGGTGTAATTTTCTGTGGAAATTATTCTAAAAAAATATTATTGGGCTCTTCTGTTTTGGAAAAGCTTCATAAGTCATGGTCCTTGGGTATGAAAGGAAAGGCATCATTAAACTACCATGCAGAGATAAAAGTGGTTTGGCACAGTTATCCCATTAAACAAACTTTTGAAGAGACTTTGAAGTAAAATTGAAAAATGGTGTTCATTTAACCTCAGTCCGATTTAACTTCTAACAAAATGTGGATCATCTACAGTGATTTGGGAAAGTATTCCAACTCCTTCACTTTTTCACACAATACACTGATTAAATTTAAAGTGGCTACAATCAGCATTTTTATCTCAACAATAAATAACGTGATTACTTGTATGTGAACCCCACAGAAAATTATCACCTTACTCTGTAGTTCCCCTCACCCCTTTCTTTCAGCTAATTGTTTTGGTTGTGCAGGCCACAACTGTCCTGCCCCGATTCACTTTCCCAACTCTCATAGAGTCATTTCCAGATGTAGTTGTTAAACAGCAAAACCTGTTCGCCACCAAGCTGCAGACATACACCATCACAGACCGGATGGTAAACATAGTGGAGCATTTAGCAGCTGAAGAGCCTGACATTTCCCTCAGGAGTTGGTGAAGACCAAAACAGACATAAAAGGACAGTAAATGTAGGATTTGCATTTGGCAGGACACCAGAAACTGGTGATGACTTCCAATAGATCCTAATGTTGGGTAAAAGGGAATAAAAAATTAGATATGAGATACACTACAATCATTCTCAAACCAAATAAGTTTGGAAACATTTCATATGCTCATGGAACAATTGATGAGCCCAGTGAACACCTGTGAACAGTCTCAGTGCTGATCATCAGACCATATTGACATTCAACCTGCTTTTTATTCTGTTCTCAGGCTGAACAGCCATGTGCCATACTTAAATATTCACATTTATCTTTCCTTTCCTTTATCCTTTGAGAGTCTTAAGTATACAACAAGGGTTTGCTTTGTCTCCTGCAAGGTATTGGCGGCGATCCATTCAATGGAACAAACTTCATAGACTGTCTGGAGGTGTTCCTGCAGGATCCCAAGACAGAGGGCATCATCCTTATTGGAGAAATCGGGGGCAATGCAGAGGAGAATGCAGCAGAGTACCTCAAACAGCACAACTCTGTAAGGAAATAACACACTGGACACCCATTATTTCACTTCACTCTCCTTGTAATATCCTCTGCTACAGCGCATCACCTCAGCAGATATATCTGTTCGTATAAAAAATTTATCCTTTTCTGAATTAGCTCTTAGTCATGCCCTTTCAAATCTATGAGTTGCAGTGAACACTGGAATCCATCGTACAACGAGAACAAGGTGGAACTGTGAAAGTGCCCTTTCTTTTTGATCACAGCCTCAGGCTTTCCCTCTGTGCTTTTGGCGCCTGTGTGATTTGTGTGATAAAGAGTGATAGATGGGACTCAGGTATGATTCACAGGGCATGTTCTAGAAATGTGCAGTGTTTATGAGCAGTGAACCTGTTTGTGATGGCCGCATGTTATAAAGAGCAGTGTGGTGATGATTGGCTTAAGGAGCCAAGTGGCTGAGAACTTGTAACTGACATTTTTAACTTCACCAGGCCTGTACTTGGTATTTTGCTCCTTGCCGATGACTTTTAATCTGTTAATTTTTCAGTGTGTATGTGTTTGTTTCTGTATATGTGTGCGTGTGCTTATAGTGCTCCTGAGCTGAGAAATGGATTTGATTTGCCCTCGGCTGCTTTAATGCATGCAAATCTCCCGCTAGCGTCTCAAGAGAATAACTTCTCTCACTCGACAAATAAAGTACAAACACCGCCACCACACACCACCACCACTCACCCACCCAATCACCCAGAGTGTTGACAGCGAGGGGCAGTTCAAATGAAACGCATGCATGAAAAAGCCCAGCAGAGCGTGGGAGTAAGCTGCAGATCTTCTGTTGAAAGTCAATTGTGTAGAACATCGTACATAAAATAGCATGCTTGGACCAAATTTTTAATAGAGAAAGCTCAAAAGAGGACAGGAGACATTGTTTTCACTTCGTAGAAAACTTAACTTTTCTTGATTTGAATACATTTGAATTCAAGTCTCCAATACACTAACCTAGGGCAGCTCCCACATGTGAATATTGTATTAACGTGAAGCACAGTGTCACTGGAAATGAGCAGCAGGTGAGCATAATGAAATCTCCCCAAAAAAAAAAATGAACTCAAATTGATGACAGATTCTTTCTGTACTCTGACGATCAAGAAGATTTAGCTAACTCATGAGTTTCTCCATGAGTTATTCAGAGAATTGAACTGTTGTAAAGATAAACCTTACAGATAAACCGATATGTTACCTGTGATATGAATTTCTAGCCGTGAGCTGACAGAAGAAATCAGTCTGCATGTTGTACAGTCATGTATTATAAAACACTTTACTCTGGGCTGTTATGAAAACAAATTCTCACCTTGTAGTGCTTTATTGATAACAACTGCTTAAGAACAGTTGCTTAAGAATTGTTTACGAATCTTTTAAATCTTTAAAGCCCCTAAAAACTTGTCTTTAAATCCTAAATGTTTCTCTAGGACATTAGATATTCATGAATGAAGAGATGCAATGATTAGTCACCTAATTGATAAGTCGATCAACACAAAATGAACTCAACTGCAGTCGTTTAATACATCTTTTTAAGCAAAAATGGCAAAATATTTGCAGCCTCTAGCTTCTCTCGCGTTTGATGCTTTTCTTTGTCAACTGGTGGTAAAATGGATATCTTTATTTTTTCAGTGTTGGTCAGACAAAACTAGGGTTAGTCTGTTGGAAATTTTAACTGGCATTTTTCACTATTTACTGTCATTTTATAGACAAAATGATTAATCAAAAAAATAATAGGCAGATTATCAATAATGAAAATAATCGTTAGTTGTAGCCTTCAACTATACAACAATCAAAGTTTTGGGGAAACAACATTCTTAGTCATTATTTAATCAGAGTTTAATTCTCAAAAAGTGAGATAATCGGCTTCATCACGACTGTGTGGGTGTGGTGTGACCAGATTTGATTGACGGTGGCCTGGCAACATAAGCAAGCAACTCGCCAACTAACTGGTTCTAGACCTGTGAATTTCCACCCACACCTCAGATTTGTTAAGTGATTTAAATAGGTCTGGTGTTCTGCCCACTGAAGACTATTTGTGTCAGTAGAAGGGTATAACCAACCAATCAGAGTTTAGTGGGTGGGATTAAAATTGTGACACCTTCTCCCTTCATAGCTAGCTGCCTACTTGGCTACATCCACGAAACGTGTCTACAAACACAGTGGCAGCATGAGATTACAGCAGCTGCACAGGTGGTTGTTAGTTAGTTGTTGATTTAAAGAAATAACTTTAAAATCAACCTCTTTCTTTAATATTTGTTTTTAAAAAAGGGCAGCTTCCATGTTGACTGAAAAATATATCCGGTGGGCTGGATAAGTCCGTGCTAAATTTCAAGCATCATAGCAAAGGGTCTAAATACTTATGTCCATGTGATTTTTCCGTTTTTTGTCATTATGACTTATTGAGTGTAGATGTATGAGGGGAAAAAATGTTTTAATTTTATTTTAACATAAGGCTGCAACATAACAAAATGTGACAAGATTGAAGCGGTCTAAACACCCCCTTAATGCACTGTAATAAACTGCCAACTGAGTGTATGTGACATCACCTTTTTCCAACTTAAAAACAGTGAGAGGAACACAGACGCAACAGTAAAGACATTAATATCTCATGTGAAATAAACAAGACTGTTCAAACCTCGGCACAAAATTGTGTTGAAGTAGGACCACATCACTCATTGTAAGAAGTTAATTTAGAAAATAGTTTTTTTTAAGATGCTTGACGCTTCACATTAACTTGACAAATTCTGCCACACTGGACACATTTAGTATCGAATGCTCAGTGAAATTAAAGGTCCAATGTCATGATTGATTTGTGTCATGCAACATTAAATATATTGAACTCCTATTTGAGAAAGACACATTATACCAGAAAGGTGAGGAAGTATTGATTTGAGTATCCATCAATGTTACAGCTGAGTTACTGCAGACCGTTTATCTACTGACACCTTAATTCTGTAAAATTCAAGAAAACAAGCTTATATTTCCCACCAGCTTCTGCTGTCAGATTTTATGATGCAGGACATATTTCAGGGTTCAGTCTTCATCAGTGTCTGCGAGGCTTGCCAACATAATATGGTGTTAAGAAGTCACCTGTATCAAAGGTATGCCTATCATTACCAGAGCTTCACAAGCTTTCTGCAGTCAGAAATAGGTATTACACAGAAAAACCATATTATAATTTGCTTCATGCATATCAAGTAGGTCGGAGTATTTGGCACCTAAGCTACCGTGGAGGTTTACTGATTTTTTTTTTTTTTTTTTTTTTTTTTTTTTTTTTTTTCTATTTCAGCCTCTTGACTTTTAGCCCAGCCTGTCTCCACTGAGCTTAGCTAAACCCCTTGTAATTCTGTAGAAACAACACTGGAAACTAATGCAGGCTGTAGTTTGGAGGAAGCCTGAGGTAAAAAAAAAAAAAAAGTGTCAGTTGGCTCCATGTGTACGCGCACATGCCAGTTTTATTCATGCCTACCTGTCATATTTATAGGGGTGTGTAATTGTCTCACTTTGGCTTTTTAAGCTCGTGAATACAATTCCTCACCTTGGAGCAGGCTGTTTTGTGTTTATAGAACAAAGCCCTCAACCAGTCGCTCTAGCAGAGGTGGGGGAACTACCCTATTTGTCTCATAATTAAGGTAATATATCTGAACTGCTAACAGTAGAAGACAAAAGACGGGTAGAGCGAATAGTGGTATGACTCCCCTCCCTGTATGCATTGTTAGTACTTAGTATCCAGGGAGGCAGGGATTAATAGAGTAATTAAACCCCCTTTCGTTTGAGGTAGATTTAAGACTTGATTCACATGAGGGTGGTTTGTTTATTCTGAACGTGATTTGACTTCTGAATACTGAGTCGGGTTTGGTGCTAATTTGTTTTGTGCTTACATTTTTCAACGCACAGAACAGATGCTTGTCACATATTTAGAGCACTTTAAAGAGATATTCCTTCTCTCTCTCCATTTCCCTGTTAACTGTGTAAGTGTTAATGTCTCATTAGCAGTGCACTTCTAGCCAAGGTCCTCAACATTTCCCTGGCTGATATATGTCCTGCTAGTCTTAATTATCAAAAGTCATCTCCAGTTTATATTAGTGGCTGCCATCTTGTTCCTGCCAGTGTCAGGGTTGAATTCGGAGCTGAAATGGCAGGAGGAGTGGGTGTCTTTGAAGGACCTCGCTGTGTTGCTTTGGCTGTTGAGCATGCCACTCTCTGAAAGCAGTCTGCCAGATGAGCCACAGCCTTCTGTTGAAAACCCAGGACTCTCTCTGTGTGTGTGTGTGTGTGTGTGTGTGTGTGTGTGTGTGGTGTGGTACGATCGTCGTGTGTGGTGGTGTGTGTGTGTGTGTGTGTGTTGTGTGTGTGTGTGTGTGTGTGTGTGTGTGTGTGTGTGCGTGCGCACAAAGCCGTCCTCTACAATTATATTGTTATTCCTAACTATGAAATATTAGCTGCTGTACGCACACACACACACACACTGTCCGTCCCTCTCTCTGGTAATGATGTTATTGCTGAAGATGAAATATTAGCTCTCTTCACCTTGGAAATGATCTTAACTGTTGAACGTAACATCCATCAATGAGCAAGCAGCATAGACAGGCACTGAGCTAATCAGTGCCTGCATGACTAATTACCATCTCAGAAATGAGATGATATGAAATGGCAGGAGCCTGAGCCTCTATCTGGTCATACACCAGCCCATGCAATTAAATGGCCTGATTGACCCTTTGTTTTAATAATGCAGGCTGAGACTGAGATGGCTGGTTAGACAAGCCTGTTATCATGGGGGCACTGTAATAGGAGGACATGGAGTGTTTCATTTCTAATGAATGAATAAAATGCAGGTACAGAAAATGTATTCTCTCTATTTTTGTACATTCACCTCCTTTGTTTTGACTCCTTCCTCCTCCTTGTAACAACTTTGTTGTTTTGCTAACTCTACTCAAATCCTCAAACTTTCCCTTGAGCCTATCCTCCTTTTCCATTATTTTTCACCCATATTTTTCTGTCTCTCCCTCTTCTATGTCCAGGGTGCTAATTCAAAGCCTGTGGTGTCTTTCATCGCGGGGCTAACTGCTCCTCCCGGCCGTAGGATGGGCCACGCCGGCGCCATTATCGCCGGTGGAAAGGGAGGAGCCAAAGAGAAGATAGCAGCCCTCCAGTCAGCTGGAGTTGTAGTCAGCATGTCCCCAGCCCAGCTGGGCAGTACTATGTTCAAGGTGAGTCCTTTCTTCCAGCCAGACATTATCATGGACAAGGACAATAATAATAATTATGATAATGTGATAGTGTTTTGATGGGGTGTGCAAGAGGACAGGACTACATATTGAAGTTTACAGTATAGTTGTAGCGTATAATCTTTAAAAGCTTTACCTAAAAAATTTATAGCAATATTCAGTACTTCAGTTCAAAAAATGCTCATAAATGACATTTTGCAGACAGGTATTATTCCAGTCTCATTCAGAATTAAGTACTTGTTTTTAGGTCTTTGCCATTTTACAGTCATGATGTAATAAAGCACTCGGTTTACCTTGCTTAACTCCTCGGTACAGTGCAGACGTTGCTACGTTACATGAATAAGTTTCAGCGCTCTCTTCTTTTTACGCCCTGGAGGAAATGAATCTTCAGTTTTGTTTTGTTTTTGTCATCTTTAAAGATGACTTTTAGCTAAAGTTATGGTGAAATTCCCTTTCAGACAGCACCAATAATGTGTCACCTGACCTGAATACTGTGCACTGATTCACTGATTGAATATATCGGGTCATGTTCAGGAACAGCACTGGCGTTTCCATCAGCCCAACTCTAATCTGAATAAAATGGTTGCAAACATTTAGATCTATGGCTGAATGGAAAAAAAAAAAAAAAACATTGACATGTAGATAGGCCAGCAAAGTCATGCATTTCCCTGAGGGACTTTTGTTTTGAATTGTCACTAGACATAAACTTTAAAAATGCTCAACCACAAGCTAACTCTCTCAAAATAATATTTCAACTCATTCTAAACCATAATCCAGAATATATTAGATTCATAAATCGTTCTTACTCTGTCTTTTCTTGACCCTGGCTTCAGTCTTCAGTTTTTGTTGTGTTGCTGTCCAATTCAAATGTAACATAATGTTGGCTTGAGATAATTAGAAATAGAACTTGATAACAAACAAATAGCCAAATATACAATTCTTTGCTTCTTTTATATATTAAAAAAAAATTATTTACTTATGCTTTAAGAATAGTAGACAAATAAACAATTACTAAGGTCATGTTTCAGTTATACAGATGAATAAGCAAGCTAATAAAAGCTGAAAGCCAACTTACCTAATGAGGAGGTAATATAATCACATTGTAATAACACTGTAATAATATTTGTCTTTTGGCCCCACAACAAATTATCTTGTGATGCTGGTCACTGGTAGCACCATCGTTCATCATGGAACAGTTACAAATATGAGAAGGTTTACTGGGAACAGGAATTACATTTTTTTTTTCTGGGAGTAGCAAGGTCGAGATTGAACTTTTACTGTATGCCGTAAAGGAAGGCAGAAGAGAAGGGCAGAAATTAATAAATGCGTGTTGACAGTGGCTGAGTTGGCGCCACTGCCTCTTTATTTCAATTTATCTCTAGGGAAGCACTGTTAACAAGATGTATAAAAAGTGAAAGCATGTATTACACCCATTCATCATCTTATACTTTCATTACCACTGCTGGCACTACTGCACGCGAATATAGATTTACACGTGTTTTTTTTTTTTTTTTTTTTTTTTTTTCCCCCCAAAGTTCAATTCATAATCATTGTGTGTAATGATGAAAAACGTGCTACGCGGTTGCTCATTTTGCTGCACATTGTGTTCATACATCTCTGTTAATCTCATTGACCGCTGTAATAGAAGTAATAACACGTAAGAGAAGCAAGTAGACATAATGCTTTGGGTGTGGGAAACAATGACGACCCCAGTCGCAGCTGTTCAGGTCGTGGAGAGCATCTCTGCTGCTCCTGACCTCCATGAGCCTCGACATGAGTGTTGAAAAACATGAATTTGCAAAAGTGGATACATGCGTCATCATGTTAAATTAGAGCTTCATGAATTATGCATATTGCTGCAGCAGATGTTTTTATGCTAAAAACATGATAAGCTGAACAGAATTACTTGTCTAGATTTATATTCTGTCAAGTTTTTGCATCTAATGTGTATTTGGAATCAAAAAAGATGTATGCTGCATTTTGACATGTTATCAGTAAAATGAAATGGCAGTAGTAATGCTCTCACTTCCAAGTGGTACATGATCAAATGGAACAAACACAGCTGAAGACGCTTTTGTCCTCAGTTACATAAGCCCATCCTGACACATTATTCATCATAATAATAATTATAGATACACACTATCAATTCTGTGGTAGCATAAACAGGATGCAGCATGTTGGTATCATTACCACTGTCTGTTAAAATGATAACGTTTTCATTTCTAGCCATTTGACAATTTGCTGGAAGTAAAATATAGCAAGCCAAATGATGTTTAGTCTTTTCTTTATCCAAACTAAGTGCTGTCTAAAGCACATCTAGAAGACAGGTACATAGAATAATGAAAGCATGAATTAATAGTTCAATACTGAGTTTATTAGGAATATGTTTCAGTCATCCCTAGAGAACAGATAATGTATAATAAGCTGTTTTTTTTATCAACAGGAGTTTAAACAAGTTCAGATAACCAGTTCATATCTGACATCTAACACGAAAATATCTTCGTAACAGTAATACATTTAAAGTTTGCTTGTAAATATATTTTCATTTCCTATCCTTATCTATTTATTACTAATTCTGTTTTTAGATTTATATTTAATATGAATCTTGACTTGTTTCTTCTTAATCGCAGTTTACGGATGTTTTTGTTTCAATTATTGACGTTGTAGTGGTCTCCAATGTTGATTAGCTATTGCATCTTGTGGCTTTATTATAAAGATATTGCTGTATTTATATAGTGAATATGGTACTTGATGAAGGCCCATGACTGAATCATTGTATTTATAATAAGACATTGTGAAAGATTTTCAAACTATTGTTTTCTGTTTTAGCTTCACAAAATAGTTATTAGTTATTAGTTAGTTATTCTTATTTGCCTTTATAATATTAAATATTCATGACTGATCAAGTAACAGTCTAGACAGGACTTTAACTATAAGCAAATAACTCACCAACAGTCATCTTATTCTGGTTCTAATATTGCTGAACCATGGACGTCCATGGCATTATCTTTTTCCAGTTAAGCCTTACCCTCTTCAAACCAGGAAGAAAAACAAGGATACACAGATTAAATTACAGAAATATCTTAATAAAATAACCCCAACAGTGATCATGTACGTCCTCGGTATCATATCCATTGAGAAAATATGAGTTCTGGGCCTTTTTCAATTTAAAAACTGTAGGTTGAAGCAAAATTAAATATGCACTGCTTGCAGTGATATCCAAAGGAAGTTTCAGTGCCACTGGTGCAAAGACAAGATATCTGAAAACATATGTTTATCTGAGAAGGACCTAATTCATATGCAAGAAGGAATAATTATGACCTTTTACTTGTTTACAAAATATCTGGAACACATAATCACAGCAACAGATAGCATTATCCTATCCTACTCGATATTCATGCATGCACATGTTTACAGATATGTGTAGACAAACTGAGGCATTTAATCTCCAGTTTCTGTTGCTTCAATAAATTCCAAACTCCAAAAAGTTGACGGCAGCTCACAGACCATATTTACGACGCTTGCACTCCTCATACATCTGGCCTCAGGTGTGTCAAAGCTGTTGTCATTGCTAGCTTGTAAATGCCTTGCTGTTCGCTCACGTCATGTTTTCCTCTGCTTTCCTCACTTTGAATCCAGATGTATTTTCAATCGTCCCTTTTGACTGGCAACCTTTACTTTTCTCATTTTACTCCCCCGCTTCCTCTTGAGTTGTCTTGTCAAGTGTCTGAGTCTGTCTCACACAAAGTCTTTCTTTTCTCGCTCTTTCTCTGACACAAACCACTCTAGTTTTACCTTGGTGCGATCATTCCTGTATTGTACTCTTGAGTTACTGTCTGCTGCTGTGAACCAACAGCCACCTCCCTCCTCCCTTTTTTCACGCCACTCTTTCCTTCCCATTAGTCTTTCTTTGTCCTCACACTTCCTATGGCTTTGTCCCTAATTACTGATCCCTTTGCCACTCCCTCCTTTAACCCACCTCATCTGTAAAGCAAAAATCTAATAAACTAGCCACAACTCTCCAATCCACCCAACTGTCAAAATGTCTCCTCGTTTATCTCGTCCTTCCCAGAGAGTCAGGCTTAGGGAGGAGAATATTTTCTCCTCAAGGTGGCAGTAAACCTTCAGGTATCCACAAGCCAAAGGGGAATGAGCCAACATGTGCATGAGTACTTGTGTGTTCTGTAGACCTGATAAATGACATTTGCATTAAGTTACTTTCCCCCCAGTGGAATGGAAAATTCTCAGGGAACGACATATTCTATCATCCCACAATTTGTGTGATATTTCCCAAATTGAATATGTAAATAGCTACATCCTTTTTAATGGCCAACATAATGCTTCCTCATTTATAGTCACATGGTTGGACTGTGCTGATAAACAGAAACTATAACCACACATAAATCAGATTTCTGCAGATGTGTAGCGCGTATCAATCACAGGAAGTGAGCTGTTTTAATGTTGACAACTGGAACTTACTGACACTTACGCGCTGCATGATTTGCACTCTCCGGGAAAAACAACAGGCTCTCCAAAGCTTGCGCCGCCTCTGTTTCCCCCCTCAACAGCTGATCTAAAACACAGGATCAAAACAGAGCTGTGTGAATTTTACATGAATAAATCATTCACTTCTGTCTAGCTCACTTCATATCACCTTGTTTCTTTTCTTCTTCCTCTCTGTTGTCCATCTCTGTAGGAGTTCGAGAAGAGGAAGATGTTGTAAATTGTGCGAGAAGGCACCAAACCTTTTACCCCCTGCTCCAAAATTGAGATGAACAGCCTGATTCTGGAGGTGGATATGCCCTACAGGATCTGTAAACCCTGATTATTTCAACTACAACGCGCACATACAGTGTTTATATTGTAATTTCTGCCATGAACTTGTACCTTGCACATAATGAAAGAATAAAACATAGTGTCTTAATGGTATCCTAAAGAACTCATTGTACACAATGTGAAAGCTTTATAGATGTTTTTTCTTCCCCCACATAATGCCGACAGCTGAAGTATGCCATGGTAACCTTGGTGATCTGTCGTTCTGTTATACTCCTTCTGTAAGACATATTCCATCACGCATTTCACTGGCTGTCTACCTGAATAAGAAATATTTCTCATATCATTTCCTTGCCGTGTTGTGTCTATAATTTCTTCATGTGGCACTTTTGAGAAACTGGTGTGGTCTCATTATAGAGCAAGCTCCTCTTTCCCCACATTTCTACCTTTTTGAAGTAACATAAGGAGCATAAATCTCTACATGTATAAGAGAACAGACGGGGATACAAAAGATATCAAATGGGCATGATGTTTACAAGCTTTCCACCACAACCTGTTCCAGATACATATTATATGCACAGAATCAATTACCGGGTGAGGGATCAAGATGAAAGCGCTTTTAAGCTATACATCTTGAAGTTAAAGTTTTCTGAAAACTCCCTTTTCTCTGTTGTGTAGACTGACATGTAAAATCATAGTATTTAGTTTTAGTCAGGTCTCTATACTGTGAATACTGATACTGATACTATTATTAAGGAAGAGCAGAAACAATTAATATGCAATTGGTAGATTTATTTAATCTTTAATTTATTTATTGGAAAGAAATCTGAGTAGCCATTAGGTCATTTTAACACCTGGGGACACCAGCATTCAAAATGGCTGAAGTTTGCAGAGATCCTACTGAAATTAATTCAACTTTGGTGACCTTTGACATGCAAATTTGTGCAGTTGAGCACTAACAAGCTGTCTTGTTACTGCTGATCTTTGGGGGAAAGCGAAAAGCCAGAGTCCAAAATGGAGGAAGCTATTGTCGCTTATTAGCTGTGTTGCACCATTCTATTTTATTTAACCTCGTATGAACTGATCCACAAAAGTGGTATGATAATATACAAATATGGTTATATAAGCGTTTATAGAATGAAATGATGCACAATTCTGAGAGCAAAACGCCAGGGAGAAGTAAACAGCTCAGTACAGAAAATCTAGGAAGATGTTGCTAGTCTGTTCGCAGCTTTCTTGAAAGCTGGTAGTTCTGGGATGCCAGAGTATTGTTTTCCCACAGGTTATAATCCCTTATATATATACCCTAAGGGGCAAAACACAACGGTTCCTGTTTGGGATCAGACAGAACCCAAGTGAATTAAGAGTTTTTTCATTGGATGTGTTCCGGTGGGTTGGTGCTAGATTGGATCGAATGGCGGGATGCTCTAAACCAGGGCTGGTTCGTGGCATAGGGGACATTAGGGTTCCCTAGGGCGCAGAATGTCGGGGGTGTCATAAGAATTCTGACAACATAATTTTGTAAATCATGGTTACAGTAAAAACATTATCAACAAAAACAGCCTTTAAATTACATTTATAAACATACTGCTCCCCCTGAGCTGTCAGTCACAAGTTGACAACATGATGACCTCACGAGTTTTTAATCTGTCTTGCACTGCTCTTGTACTGTCTGAACTCTGCACTGAAGGTGGAGGATCATGGGTAACGTTTGATCCTCAATTGTGTGCATCACGCAGCCCAAGTCCAGGATATTCACTGACTGACTGATGGCAATTGCTAGATTGGATCAGCCAGAGGGACGCTTCAGTTATTATTAGCTCAAACTGCTTCATAATGAAATGGTCCAAGCCTTCAAGTGAACACAGACGAAAAGACGAGGAGAAAAAGCCCAATACAGAGGTATGTTATGTTGTGTTAACATTGAAATGCCATTTTCAATGACCTTTCATTTGTAGCTAGCTAGCTAATTTTGTATAAAGCTAATGCTAGATAATGATGCGAGGATAGCTGCTAGACTCAGATACAAATTGAAGGATATGAATCTAAAAGGAAAATCAGTAGTGGAAGAAGTATTCAGATCCTTTACTTAAGTAAAAGTACCAATACAACAATGTAAAAATACTTACATCACTAATCTTTGACTGTTTGACTAACATGTTTTAATTGTGTGACAAATCCTTTTTTAATAACAATTATTTTCATTTTTCGGTAGTTGTAGGAAAAAATACAGCCTGTTGCAGATTCCAGTAGTTAAGATTTATTTCCTTCGTCGTCTTTTGTGGCAAAACAAGTGATTTGATTATGTTAACTCACAATGAAAAATTGTGATGGGTCATTTTTGAGATTTTATAGACCAGTCAATTAATATAGTCAATAATGACAAATAACAATGGAAATTTGTGGAATGAAAGCTCCATGACAAAAAACGATAGGTTAAACTAACTAGCCTTATTACTGTACACAAAGTGAAAGTAGACCGAGTGGAGGAAAATGAAAGAGGAAAATAAGGTTACTGTTGGTTCTGCCCCCCACAGAATCTTTTTAAATTAACACGCTAGGAACAAAAGAGTGTAATGAAGCATATAATGCCCTACACTGGACATCTCTACAGCCAATTCTTATCTGCTCCACAGCAGTCAGCCAAGGCAGATTATTCTGTGTACACATTGTTAACAATTACTTTTTAATCTGCATTAGCGAATTAACATAATGGCTGACAGTGGAACTGAAAGCTTATTTGTTTAGAGGCTCAGAAGTTCTTTCTTGAACTGAAGTTGCCAAGCTGTTTTCTGCTTTGGTTAGTTTCATGCAAGATGTAAAAAAAACGCCAAAGTTTGCCTTCTGGTGTCATTTAATGGCTGGTTTAATGACTGTTTGTTTATTTGTTTGTTTGTTTGTTTGTTTGTTTGTTTGTTTGTTTGTTTGTTTGGTTGGTTGGTTGGTTGGTTTCATACAGCTTCATTGTAATTTGCTGATTCAAAATGAAAGTTTGACTGTGTCACCATGCTGAAAATGATCAAATAAAAAACAGTTCTCATTGTTGATTTGCATGATGGCAACACAATCAAACATGGAGGAGAGAACAGAACAGGGTTGACAGGAAAATGACTTGTGAGCGTGCTGTTGATGTACACTATTGATCCACAATGCAATGAACAAAAGACATGGAGGTTGTACTTACACCTTACATGCAAATTGTGGAATAGGGAAATGGCTTCAGGAACCCATGACAAAACAAAAATACAGTATTAAAACTTTGTGAAGTTTTATGATGGTTATTAATTCATACCATATATTCTTATTATGTACTATGAATTTGCTGCGTTCATATTGTATGAGATGGATGGAAAATAGAGACGACAAAAAATACATTGACGTTGTTGGACAACTCAAGATGCCAATCTGATAGCAGAGAGAATGTGACAGAAAAATCAATGATGAATCAGATATATTTAATTTTGTTATCACTGTAATGACATTAAAGTCACAAAACTGTTAGTGGGATTGTTTAGAATTTGTTTTTTCGGTGGTTCTTGATTAACCAAGCGGCCATAGGAAGGATGGCATCAATGTTGGTAATTTGTAGGGTAAGGTTGGATCAAGCTTTACCACTTTAAAAAGATAAGTGTACTTCAGTGGAAACCTATCACCAAACACTTTAGTAGTAAAAAAGGATAGAGTTCTTGCTTTTGATGAAATACTTCTGAGTGTTTGGAATTAAATTGGTCTAGAGCTCAAGTGTACTCCACTACTTCACTACTGGCCACTCCTCTCCACTATTCCACTTTACTCCAAGACAACATTTTTCTTATTAAAGTCTTAGTAAGTTCACCTTTTGTTATCCTTGGAAGTTGCTTTTTGGAACAAAATTCACAGAACCAATTTCAGCTTTCTACTTGACAAACAAATTAGTAATGATGACAGGTGTATTCAATTTTGATGTCATCCTTTTATCCAGAGGAGATAGCAATTTATTCTCCCAGAACAGAGAGTTAGCTGTATTCATAAAACCATGAATGGCTAACTCAGACCCACCCACAGACCTACAGCAAAGGCCTCATTACCAAGAGAGCGTAGACCTCTGCCGAGTCAGTCGCATGAATTGAAGAAACGAGAATATTCCTCGGAGCAGACGGTAGTCCTAATGAACTCAACAGGGTACCCTGCAAGTGCCCTCGCACATACAGCAACACCTTATTACTAATGTATGTGAGGCGAAGTTGAACAGTGCCAAAGTGCCCAGCATGTAAATCAGTCATTTAATTAAACAATTGTTAATGAAACAGACAAGATAAATCTTGTGTTTAGAGGTAAGAGCTCTTTTTTTTTCTAAATTTCCACACTGGCTTCAGGGATGAGTAGAAGCTGACACGGTGCATACAGCGGGTCATTAATGTTGCCATTGAAATGTAACAATAGCACGGGCTGATACCTGCCAATTAGGATAATTATGTTTCTGTACCAAAAAGTTGTGTGATCTGGAAGCTGTTCAGGTATAGGTTAGATTTGTTGCTCCTGTTTGTAATTACCTGGTTTGTTGGCAGCATCCCTCAATGAAGTGCTCATCCATTCAGAGTCACATATTGCTCTTTTTACCCTGAAAGTGCTGGTGATGATTGTCAGATTGTTTTATTGATATCATTGATCCTACCTGATGCTGCAAAGTCTGGCTGGCACAATTTCCATTAAAGCATTTGAGAGCAGCAGTAAGGACGAGAAATAAAACCAAGGGGCTTGACAGTAGCAATTTGCATGAGGCAGTATTGTTTTAATAGAACCACTGACTTGAGATTGCTTTGGGAATTGAGGGCAAGAATGAGGACAGAGGAGCGGATGTAAAGGGATCTTGGAACAGAGCCCCATTCTTTTTTCAAGTCAGCTGTGGATTGGCTTTTTCTTCAGACAGAGGAAAGGTTTTATTTGTCTGGCTTATGATGATACAAAGGCACAAGACAATGTTTCATACAGAGAGTAAGCTGCTCCCTTTTCATAATTTATGTTTTGATGAAATCATTCATATTATTGGCATCTGTTCGATGAGACTGGCCTTGTTTTTAGTTTTATAATAATTTTAAAAAGGTGTCCATGGGTTTCGAAGCTGTTACCAAATTTGTATTAATGGTTAATAAATCAGTGCCTAATATGTTATAAATCTGCTATAAGCCAATTCTTAAAGGAATAGCTGGACAATTTTAGAAACATTATCATGCAAAGATTTGGTGAAAAGATCAATACAATTGTCAGAGCTGTACTCTTAAATATAAGGCTACAGCCAGCAGCTAGTTAGCTTAGCTTAGCACAAGGACTGGAAACAGGAAGAAACTTGCTTTCGTCTTCAGGGTA